ATTGTGACAGTGAGAGAAGGCACTTGGCACATGTTCCGAGGTCCTGCCATCACTGCTTTGTGTTTGGCGGGTGAGCAATGGAGGCACTGGTGCATCTGTTTCACACCGAATTGCCAGTTGTCAAGTTGGCCAAAAAGCATACACTTAGCTGAAAGCCACCATCAGTCCCTGATTTCTTGTGAATCAATTTCTCTTATGCCTAGTCTTAGAGAGCCAGCATACTGTAGTGGTTAGAGTGTCAGACTAGGATATGGGAAAGCTGGGTTTGAATCCCTACTCTGCTGTGGAAGCTCCCTCGGTGATCTTGGGCGTGTTATACTCTTGCAGTCTAATCAACCTCACAAGGTTGTTGTTATGATAAGAGTGCAGTAATGAAGAATTATGTGGTAAGCCTCTTTGGGTCCCCATTAGTGAGAAAAGCATGGTATAACTAAATAAAATAAACTTGGCCCATATTTAAAGATGCACTTAAAACATCTTAGGCATACTCATAAAATGTAAAGAAGGTCTGAAGGCATGAACCAGCTCACGAACTAAAGTTTTGTGACAGATTTTGGCCAGGTTGTGGTTTGCGAACTAAAGTTCTTAGCAAGTCAACCAGCATGAACTTTCAAGCCGATTCATGAATGGATATATTTCCAGACAGTCTCCCCTCAGACAAAATGTGATTCTGTACTTCACATCAGTCCTGTAGAGCTGGCATTGCCGCAATGGCACTGGGTCCTGCTGGGCACTCTTTGATTGCACTGGTACTGCTGGGCACTCTGTACATTCTACTGCTACTGCCAGGCTTGCAAAAATGCCACCCACCACCACCTTCAGTTTCTACTGCAGAGATTCTCTGGCTTGACTTTAGTCCTGTTGGGTTTGCACTGCCACAGTGGCACTGCTTCTGCTGGGCTTGCAAAAATGCCCCCCACCTTCAGTCTCTACTGCAGCAATTCTCTGGGACTTTGATTCTGTTTTGCTGAGCTTCTATTGCCCTTGCTTTTTTATTGGTTTCTCCCCCCCCTTCATTGGAAACAATGGAGGATAGGGGCACCTTCTTTGGGGGGCTGTAACTTGGATCCTGTAAATCCAGTCCTCACCAGACTTGGAGGTCAGATAGAGGAAAGTCAGTGGGAGATCCTCTGAGAGTTTAGTGCTTCTAGCTTGGGGGGGGGGGCGCTTTCTACTGCATCACAAATGTCACAAACTGAACCAGTTCATTTAACCTTTAAAAAATTGTGACGGTTCATACTTTGCGAACCAGGCACACCTCAAACCACAAACTGTCATGAACTGCATTTTCCTGGTTTGTGCTCATCATTATAATAGCTAACCTGAAGAATAGGGTGCATACTTCACATGCTCAGAAATACTCTTACTTTTTTCGATTCCTGAACATTTGAACCCTGGCACCTCTTCAATGGACAGAGCTTCCAGATCTTCAAGGGTGAGCCCCAGTATCTTTCCTCACCATTAAACTCTCTTCAAAACTCTGATCGGTCTGTGACAAGCTTGAAGAAGCTAAATTGAAACGCAGGAAGATTATGTTGTAAATTTTGGGTGGGCCGATCCTGAATGTGGTAATGCTCCCCCCCTCTTATCCGGAGCACCCCACCCTGCTGTGGTCAGGGCCCCACCATGTTGACGGCAAGTCTTTTTGTGGCCCAGTCTTCTTGTGTACCTACGCCCAATCACAGAATAAAGTGGTTGTGCAATTGCAGGGGGAGAGGAGGCAACATTTAATTTTCTTGTAGGGCAGCAAAAAACAAACAAACCAAAAACCACCCTTGAGCCAAGCCTGCTTCCTCGTTTTCTGCCAGATTTATTGTCATGTCATGTCTAAAATGAACAATCCTATCCATTTCTGGCTGCCCAGAACTTGGGAATGTATAGTCTGGAGGAGACTGAGGTGGGACATGATTGCTCTCTTTTAAGTATTTGAAGGGCTGTCACTTAGAGGAGGGCAGGGAGCTGTTCCTGTTGGCAGCAGAGGTTAGGACTCGCAATAATGGGTTTAAATTAAGGGCAGGAAGGTGCTGGCTGGATATTAGGAAAAACTTTTTTACAGTTAAGAGTTGTGCAACAGTGGAATCAGCTGCCTAGGGAGGCGGTGAGCTCCCCCTCCCCGGAAGTCTTTAAGCAGCAGCTGGACAAATACTTGTCAGGGATGTTCTAGGCTGATCCTGCACTGAGCAGGGTGTTGGACTAGATGGCCTCTGTGACCCCTTCCAACTCTGTGATTCTATGACTCTATTGCTCAAGAAACAGAAGGCCCAGCCAGGATTCTTTTCAGGGCTCAAAACTGCCTGAGAGGAGCAATAGAAGACCTAGTGGTAAAACAGATGAGCATTGGATGCAGGAGACCTGAACTGAAACCGTTGCCCAGCTCCCAAGCAAAGCTCTCGGTCACCTTGTGGATGTCGCTGCCTCTTGGCTTCAATTTAATGTGACTTGCAAGTAGCTAGGCAGCTGAAATGAGACAGTGTTCTTTGATGACCTGTCCGCAGCCCTTGGGAAAGGTCGAGTTGTGCATTTTGCAGTGACAACCATGGGTGATCCAAGCAATTCTGGGTTTTTTTAAAGGGGAGATATGGAATTGCATAAAATGGTACGTGATCCTTCCTTCCTTTCTCTGCTCCTCTGACCTACAGGTCTATCTATCCCAGCTAAGAATAAAAGGAAGAAAGGAAAAATTCAAGCCAGAGAGGACAGGCTATACGATGTTAGAAAAGGTGTCTTGTCACAAGCTGCCAGAAAAAGGAATTTAGCTTTAAAAAGCTTTGCTGTTCTGCGATCCAGTAAAATTTTAGTAACTAAAATGTCTGGGAAAGGCTTGTTTCATTGGGGTATACAATCAATTTCTCTCTAGCCTCATTATACCGTGGGCATTCAAAGAAAACATGCTTCACAGTTGCTATGATCCTTAAGCCACAACTGCAGTATGTACCTGAAAACGGTGTACCTACTGTACGACCTCCAGAGATCGCAGATGGTAGCACATTTAATTTTGCTAGCATAATTGCTTGCCTGTATCTTGGAACTGTAAGGCTAAACAAATATTCTGGGATTGTAAAGAGTGGTGGGATTCCCGTACAAAGAGAAGAGTGTGTGATTGCACACATGAACACATGAATCTGATCCTTGGTCCGACAAAATCAGTATTGTCTACTCAGACTGGCAGCAGCTTCTCTGGTGTCTCAGGCTGAGGTCTCTCACATTACTGACAACCTGATCCTTAAGTGGAGATGCTGGGGATTGAATCTGGGACCTTCTGCATGCCGAACAGATGCTCAGCCACTGAGCCATAAAGGTAAAGGTAAAGGTTCCCTTGCTCGAAAGCCAGTCGAATCCGACTCTAGGGTTGCGATGCTCATCTCCGTTTCAAAGCCGAAGAGCCAGCGCTATCCGAAGACGTTTCCGTGGTCATGTGGCTGGCATGACTAAACACCAAGGCGCACGGACCGCTGTTACCTTCCCACTGAAGTGGTACCTATTTATCTACTTGCAATTTCTTGCTTTCGGACTGCTAGGTTGGCAGGAGCTGGAACTAGAGACAGGAGCTCACCCTGTCTTGCGGCACCCGGGTCTTGAACCGCTGAACTACTGACCTTCCACAGCCTGCAGTTCAGCGTCTTAACCACTTGAGCCACCGCAGCTCCGCTGAGCCATAGCCCTCCCTTAATTGTAGTTCATGAACAACACTCCTGCAAAAAGATGGGGAGGGGGCCACAGCACAATTTAAGAAGGATATAGACAAGATGGAACATGTCTGGAGGAGGGCAACGAAGATGGTGAGGGGTCTGGAGACCAAGTCCTATGAGGAAAGGCTGAAGGAGATGGGTTTGTTTAGCCTGGAGAGATGACTGAGAGGGGATATGATAACCATCTTCAAGTACTTCAAGGGCTGCCATATGGAGGATGGTGCAGAGTTGTTTTCTGTTGCCCCAGGAGGTCGGACTAGAACCAACAGGTTGAAATTAAATCAAAAGAGTTTTTGGCTAAACATTAGGAAGTACTTCCTGATAGAGTGGTTCCTCAGTGGAACAGGCTTCCTCGGGAGGTGGTGGGCTCTCCTTCTTTGGAGGTTTTTAAACAGAGGCTAGATGGCCATCTGACAACAATGCTGATTCTGCAAACTTAGGCAGATCATGAGAGGGAGGGCAGGAAGGGTTGCATCAGTGCTTAGTTCTTGTGGCCCTTTCTTACACACCCAGGGAAATGCTAATTGCCACTTTGGGGTCAGTTTGGCTGGAGATCCTGGAGGATTTTTTGGCATCTTCTGGGCATGGTGCAGGGGTCACTGGGCATGTGGGAGGGAGGTATTTGTGAATTTCCTGCATTGTGCGGGGGGTTGGACTAGATGACCCTGGAGGTCCCTTCCAACTCTATGATTCTGTGATCTCCAGTTAAAAGGATTAGGTAAGAAGTGATATGAAAAACCTTTGCCTGAGACCCTGGAGAGCTGTTGCCATTCTGACGGACCAATGGTCTGATTAACTGTTGGAGTCCTGGGCATTAAGGGGAAACAAGAGGGTCTAGCCGGCTGGGCTCTTGGCTTGTGATATTGCAGGTCTGGAATGGAGAGACTGATCTTTGGGGAGGAGGCGGATAGCATGGGTGACTTCTGTCAGCATTGCTCAGGGAGGGCTTTGCCGGTCCCTGGCAAACTGAGGCATGTCACAGAATTCACTCTGTCCTGTCATAACCCTACTTTCTTTTCTTTTAAAAGTGAGGTTCTAACCCTCAGTGTTGCAGCCATGAATTTGGAAACAGTTGGGCAATGGGGCTGAGCAGGAAGGGCTTCAGTGGTCCAAAGGTGAATGCTTGCCCCCCTCCGCTTTCTTTCTGGCTCCACTCCTGTGTGCACTCACAGAAGCAAAACAAGACATGCAAATGCATACATGTGGATTAACGTTGCATCATGGATCCACGTTGCAAAATTGGGAATGTTTTGGCACACAGCCTCCCCAACCTGCTCTGACCACAGACGCTCCGTCTCTTTGGCTGCCTAGATTTCTTCTCCAGTCCGCGGCCGCTGTCGGCACATCCGTCCCTGAGCTACCACGAGCAGTCCTGCTTTGCGCCTGTGACGGAGTCCCTGTACAGTGGTAGTAGCGACCTGCTGCCCAGTCCAGCCGAAACCCTGCTCACCCAGGGCACTGCCAATTCATCAGTCCTGCCCAACACCCGCCTCCAGGTGTGTGAAGTCTTTCTGGTGTTTGTTTTTCCAGCTGCTGTGACCCCTTTGGATTGGAAGTGGCTTGCTGTCAATTTACTGACCTCTGTACCTCTCTCTTGGCCCCCAATCCAAGAGTTGCTTTTGGATTGCTCTGCCCGAGTGATGCTCTGTATTCTGGGTGCTTGGGGGGCAACAGTGGGAAGGCTTCTGGAGTTCTGGCCCTGCTGGACTGGATGAGTTGTTGGCCTGATCCAACATGGCTTCTCTTATGTTCTTATGCCAGAGGTACCTAGAGCATGATTTGGAGACTGTTGCAGATTAGCTGTGAACATGTTCTTCCATTGGCAGGCTGTGGGGAGCCACTTGGAAATAAGCAGAATGTGCCTGACTCCTCTGTGTCCCCACAGCACCCCGCATTCTCAGACCCCAGTTGAAGCACTGTGCTTTCCAGAGCATGTTTTGCTTTAAGGGAACCCAATACGTAGGGGTGGGGTGGGAGATTGTGCTGACTGGCTTGTTAGCAAGAACCCCCTGTAGATATTGGCTTGACCAGTCCACTTGTACAGTGCATAACATCAACCCATACACACACATATGTGTGTGGATGGTACAGGGGAAGTATGGGATGAAGGACTCTCAGCTTCCTGTCCAGAGGCTTCATTAGATTCCTAGAGGATGGCTCTACAGCAGATATCAGCCAGGTAAGCACAATGGAACCTCCTCATTCAGAGGCACTATACCTTTGAGTGCCAGTTGTTGGGGAACCAACAACAGGGAATGGTTGTCCTCTCCATACATTCCCTTCTAAGCTTCCCCAAATACACCTGTCTAGTCTTTGTCAGAGGCAGAATGCTGGGCTGCGTGGACCTTTAGCCAGATCCTGCAAGGCAGGCTCTTGAATGCTTCCTCTCTCGCACCAGGGATTTCTGCCCAGGCCTCCCCCGGTGCACACGGCTGAAGGTTTCACAACCCTTGCTGCATTCATTGGCTCTGCCATAATACCTCCACTCCTTCTTTAAATGTTTGTTCTTTTGGGTCAAAGCTATATTTAGCACTGCCCATTTCACCTGGAACACCCTCCCTCCCTCCATTGGACAGTCTGGCGCTCTCACGTCAGGTTCTTGGCCCGGAACTGACCCTCAACCTTTTTCCTTTCCAGCCTTTCACTTGAACCCTGTCCTGCCACTTGGACCTCTCTCCTTCTTCTTCCTCTTCTTTAAATTTCTGGATCGCTCAATCCCTGAGTATACAAGGCTCTGGGCAATTTATAACACCTTAAAACACCACAAAATTACAGATTAAAATCAACCATCAGTTATTCTTAATTTAATAGTCTCCAGATGGCATCCCTAATTTAATCCAGAACCTAACTCTGGGCTGTTCTTCTATCTCGTGGGCAGGTTAAGGAGGAGGCCAAAGCGGGCAGAATGGAAGAGGGTTCCAACTGTGATTTACTTGCCTTACTTCCTTGTCTTCTATGCTTCCTTCCTGCTCTTGGAGTGGCAACGATGGAAGAGTTTAAGAAAGGGGGTGTGCCAGTTGTGGGCCATGACCCTCATAGAGCTTGCCAGCTCCAGGTTGGGAAATTCTTGGAGATATGGGGGTGGACCATGGAGAAGATGGGATTTGAGAACGAGATGGACCTCAGTCCTTTGGAGGCCCATTTCAGATCTGGGTAGTTAACAGTCAATGATTTAATACGTTTATCTCAGAGGTGTATCTGGGCCATCTCTGTCATAGCTGATTCTCCCAGTCTATGCTTGGTGCTTGGGAGGGGGGGGGGTCAACAGTGGGAGGGCTTCTAATGTCCTGGCCCCACTGGTGGACCTCCTGATGGCACTGGTATTTCTGGCCACTGTGTGATACAGAGTGTTGGACTGGATGGGCCTTTGGCCTGATCCAACATTGGCATCTCTTATGTTCTTATGCTTTCTTGGGCATTCAGCCCAACAGGAAGTGTTTGGGGGTTTTTTGCACTGACACCACACATCTCCCCTCTTTCTTTTTCAGCCTTCAGGTGCCTGCTCAGCCCAGCTGGATTTGCCCAGCCCCTTCCTCAGACCTGACCTCCCCACAAATCCTCCACCTTCAGCTTCTTCCAGGGGCCTCGGCCCTGACCCGAAACAGAAGCCTGTCCTGCCCTATGCCTTTCCTGGAAAGTGGCTGAGCCCAGAACCTTACGGGTCTTTCTGCCCAACCCTGCCAAATACCCCGATACTGGGCCAGGACCTGGCGTGCCCAGCTCACTCAGCGCCTTGCTCCAAATTCCACTATCCACCTTCTACGTTGCATTCTACACCATGTTTTCCCCAAAACATGTCGGTGCCAGGCTATGGCGTGGATCTGCCTTCAGGGTACCACCCCCCTTTTGGCGCCCTGCATGCGCAGGCAGACATGGCTAACAGCCCCATGTTTGGCACCACCAGAGGGCAGCCGCAGTCTGGGAGCAACAGGCCCAAGGCGAAGGTCACCAACTCCAAGAGCAAGAGACCTACGGGGCTCCCCATGCCTCCAGCTGCGCCAAACCCTTGTCTGACACAGCTGCTGACCACAGGTAGGTGGGGCAAAATGGGCACCAAGGAAAGGGGTGGGGGTTCTTCATGGGTGCCAGAGGGGGGGATGCGAGTGGGGAGATGCCCCAGGTAGCCAGCCACCGGCTGCTCAGGCCAGACTTCAGGATGGATGTCCAGAGTTCCGTCTTGTAACTCAGCAGGGGTTACCAAAAGCAGGATGTCGCTTCACGATTGTCTCTGTGTTAAGTGCTGTCAAGTCACTTCTGACTTCTGACGAACCTATGAATGAATGGCCTCCAAAACATCCCATTGTTAACAGCCTGGCTCAGATCAAGACGGGTAGCCGTGTTAGTCTGTAGCAGTAGAAAAGAGCAAGAGTCTAGCAGCATCTTAAACGACTGACAAAATACGTGGCAGGGGAGGAGCTTTCCTGAGACACTGCTCACTTCTTCGGATCTGAAGCAGTGACTCACAAAGAGCTCCAGCCCTGCCACAAGCCTTGCTCAGGTCTTGCAGAGAGCCACTTTGGGTTAAGAATGGTGGGCTCTAATCTGGAGAACCAGGTTTGATTCCCCGCGTCTCCACATGAAGCCAGCTGGGTGACCTTGGGCCAGTCACAACAGTTTCCCCAGAGCTCTCTCAGCCCCACCTACCTCACAGGGTGTCAGTTGTGGGGGAGAGGAAGGGAAGGCGATTGTCAGCTGCTCCAAGACTCCTTCGGGTACTGAAGGGCAGGGTATCAACCCAACTCTTCTTCCCATATTGGCTGAATCTGATGTTGGGTCTTCCTCTTTTCCTGCTACCTTTATTTATTTATTTAATTTATTTATTATTTTTCGCATTTATACCCCGCCCTCCCCGATAGGCTCAGGGCAGCTTACAGAGGCAAGGCAAAACCTTGCCATAATAAAAAACATAATATACATAATGATTTAAAAACATATAATAAATCTTAAAAACATCCAGAATTAAAACATGGTGCCCAATAGCTTGCATAGTTCCAGAGATGGCAGATCGTAGGTCCGAAGTTCCGAGTGGTACTTCCCACGGCTCAATATTAAGATGTTTCTTCAGGGCTTTATCCAAAACAAGGCGGTGGTGGTATAGTAGGGGCAGCGGCTCCTACTCAAAGGCCTGGCGGAAGAGCTCCGTCTTGCAGGCCCTGCGGAACTGCATAAGATCCCACAGGGCCCGGATCTCCCCTGGGAGCTCATTCCACCAGGTAGGAGCCGCCACCGAAAAAGCCCCGGTCCTAGTAGCAGCCAGCTTGGTATCCTTGGGGCCTGGGATGGCTAACAAATTTTGGGCCCCTGACCGTAGTGCTCTTGGGGGAACATACCTTCACCTTTTCCTAGCAATATTATCTTTTCCACTGAGACAAAACCACCTTCTTCTCAGCGGCACGCATAGAAGCACCCCGGGAAGGAACAGATCGGGTCCTACGTGCACAAACGTTTGAACAAATAAGCAGGATGGGAGCACGTGCGCCACTGTGCTTTAAAGGGCTCACTTTAAGGGCAGGCAATTAAGTACATTCTGAGTTTGTGAAACAGAAGCCACAGCTGGGGTGAACACTGGCATGTCTTTTTTCCCCCTCATCTTCCTTTTCCTTGTCGCAGCTAAACCAGAGCCGAACATGGAAACTCTGCCTACCCCCGATCCTGCCTTCCTTCCCACGGAGCCAGAATCCATGGTAAGAGCCGACTGGGGTCACGTTAGGTTATGGGAGTTCTGGAAGGAAGGATGGGGCCTTTTTCTCCTCTGGGTTCCAAACAGGATTTTTAGGAACAGGAGCTGGAAGGGATGGGGTTGTGGTTGGAGGCATCTGTGCTTGGAAGTTCAGGAATCTCAAGAAGTGCAGATGGGAAAAGGATACACCAACTCCAAAAGGTTGGAGGCAGTGGGAGGGGGGAAGCTGCAGTGAACACCAATGTTCCCTCTAAGCTGTGGAGTCTTGTGAGCAAAAATTCTACTTTGTGAGCTACTGGCATTAAAGTTGTGAGCGAGCAATTTGGCTACTGCATAAATTAGTTTGCTCTGGAGCCATCCTTCCTGAGCTAAGACAAAAATGTGTGAGCCAGAGGCTGCAAAACTGTGAGCTAGCTCACACTAACTCAGCTTAGAGGGAACACTGGTGAACACACAAAGGACCACTGGCACGCAACTAAGCAGATGCATGGTGGTGGAAAGTGCTGTCACATTGCAGCCGACCTCCACACACACACCCCCATAGGGTTTTCCATGCAAGCGATGAACAGAGGTGGCTCGCCATTGCCTGCCTCTGCATAGCAACCCTGGACTTCCTTGGTGGTCTCCTGTCTAAGAACTAACAAAGGCTGAACCTGCTTAGCTTCCGAGATCTGATGAGATCAGGCTAGCCTGGGACATTCAGGTCAGGGCAGGCAGATGCACACGAGAATATTTAGCTTGTGTCATCTATTTGGACTGCAGAAATATAGCTTTCCTTGGAAGAGAAATCACAATTGAAAGGGCAGTGTTGGTGCATGGCAAAATCCAAAAACCATGCAATCCCTTTTATAAGAATCACCAGAGATGGAAAGAGCAAGTTCCCTCGGATCTAGATTCCAAGCGTGGTCAGCCGGATACCTCTGGGAAATCCTCATAGCAGGACAACCCTTCCCTGTTGGTGGTCGGCATTCAGAGGGAGACTGGCTGTAAACGCTGAAGCGCCCTTCTTATGAGACGTCACAACCAGAGGTCATTTCGGGGGGGATTGCAGTTCCCCCGGGTGAGGTACGGGGGGGTGGGGCACATGACGAAGCCCCGCCTCCTGCTTCCGGCCGCCCCGCTTCCGGCCCTCATTCAGCCAGGAGGCAGGAGATGAGGGAGGGTATTGTTTCCTCCCTGGCTCTCCCCACCCCTGCCTGCCTGGGGCCAGGGAGGGCCTTCGCGGGGCTTCCTTGCACTCCCGCCGGCCTTGCAGGTCCACTGCCGGGCCCCTCATGGGGCTCGGCAGTGGAGCTGCAAGGCCAGCGGCGGTGGCCGGGACCGTTGGGGGCGGGGTGTGTGGTCTTATGACACACTTCCGGTGATGTCAGGGGATGTGGCCTTATGACACACTTCCGGTGATGCCAGGGGGTGTGGCATATGCTAATGAGTTATGCTAATGAGTTCCCCTAGCTCTTTTTCTACGAACCCTGGTCACGACTAAGTTGGATAGATGCCTCTATTCTCCCTTTCTCATTTAAAAGTCACCTACATTCATGGTCATTGCGACATCTTGTGGCTGAGTTCCACAGACACCCATGTCATGAAATGCAGTGAAGCCCTGAAAACTAATCTTTTCTCTTTCTTTGCTTCTGCAGCAAAGCAGTCTTTGCGAAGGACCCGCTGCCTTCCTGCCCAGAATGACCCAGATCAGCCCCCGACTCTCGCCTGTCTCCAACCCCTCGCAGCCCACTCCGATCACGCCACCGCCACTAGGACCTCTGGTGGTCCCCAAGACAGAGAGGCTCTCCCCGACACCAGTGTGTGGTGAGCCCCCTCAGAATCAGTATCTGGAGAGGGGTGTGTGTCCAACTCCAGAAGGCTGCTTGTGCCGCAGTTATGCTGAGTGTGTGTGTGTGGGGGGGAGGAGCTGAGTGTTGGAAGTCCCAGACGCCATGTCCCCTGCCTCAGACCTCCAGACTGAGTGGCAAGAGAGACTAGATAGCTAGACAGGCACACTGACCTTTCTTCCTGTATGTACTCTTCTGCCACTGCTCTCTTTGAAATGCAGACTGTGTTGTCAGGGATCAATTTCCCCTTCCCTCCTTCTCTCTCACTCTGAAGACTTGCTTTCTACCTGCATGCACCAAGAGAGGGACATGCGGTCCTCTCTTGGCACCATGAGGCAGATGGGCCTCTCGCCGTCTGCCTCCATCCTTTAGCTAGTAAGTCAGTATCAGTCTCTGCTCTTCCCTATCCAAAGTGTACTTCTCAAACACAGAGAGAAGCATTTCTCTTCTAAACTTGCAATGTGGCTCTGTTGTCGCTTTGTAAGCTGAGTCACCTTGGTAAAGTGACGCTCCTGCGTTTGTAGCTTTATTTAAGCACTCTTGCTAACGAATGGTGACTGGACTAACCACGCCAGTTAACCTAAATACTGAGTCAGACAGGGAAAACACTCTGGGTGTGCTCAGATGCACCCTGTGCATGCGCAAAGCCAACTGATAACAGAAATTTCTTTCCCTCCCCCCCCCCCCAGGCAATAATCGGAGGATGTCGGGGCAGGGCTCCCCAGGGACCGCTGAGGGACTGAGTGTCAGGATTTCTCCCCCTCATTACTCATCCAACCGGAACAGGCCAGAACCAAGCAAGGTCAGTCTCTTCTGCCTTGGACCCCGCCCAATTACTTTCTCTCCCCGAGAGACGGAAAGGGTTCAGAAGTCAGGATGGATCTCGAGTCGGACAATTCCAAAGTGGTGGGGGAAGCCCAGGTGAAAGGTCTCCTCTTTGTCCCCCCGTGCAGAACAAGAGTGTATCTCACTCTCCTCCTCCTCCATCCCAGTATTTTAGCCATCGCCAGTACTCAGTCAGAACTCAAATCCTCCCCGTGCACCACTACAGCCATCTAAGGAAACAGTTTCCCCCCCACAAAACCTCTAGTTGGTCTGAAGGAGGCGTCCTTCCTGCTATCACTGGATCAAGCAGGTTTTGAAGCACGAGGAAGAACTGCACAGTTTGTTAGACCAGAGATGATAATGTGATGATGAACGAGAAAGGCAGCGATGCCTCTCTTGTGCCGCTTTCTATTTCTTGAAGAAAGATCATCTTCTCCAGCTTAGTCGCTTTCTCCCCACCCCCAGTGCCTTCTCACGCTCACTCACAACCACATCCAGTTGAGGCCTCGCTTCCCACTTTTATCTCATTGTTGCCTGCATCTTCCCAGTACCAGGCGGTCTTGGACCCCAGTTTCTGATCATCTGATCTCGGACCCGTAATTTAACAATTTTAGGAATGAACCGCCCAACAGTCACCAATTTCCTTTCCACTCCTGGGTCCAAACCAGACAAAATGCAAGGATTTCTATGTCCACAGGGGCCCAATTCAGACTGGGACTGTGGCATGAGGGCATTGAGAGGTTAAGCTTCCCCTTGGTGTAGTTTCTGGGATTGAAAATGGCACTGGGAAGCTGCTGTTCGCCCAGGGGCCACCATTAAGAAGGCCCTGTCTTGCATACGTTCCCACTGCCTATCAGACAAGGTAAAACAGAAATCGAGGGCCCTTGTAAGACTAACCAAGTTTATTCCAGCCTAAGCTTTCATTGGTCAGATCTAACTTCTAGCAAACAGTGGGGAAAGGAATCGGAAGTAAAGCCTTTGTGGATCAACTTCCAGTTTGGCTGGTTCCTTTAGGGGAGGAGGCAGTGTATGAAAGTGCCCTTCTTCTCCCACAGACAGAGAGCCGCCGGATCACCCACATCTCTGCTGAGCAGAAGCGCCGTTTCAACATTAAGCTCGGCTTTGATACCCTGCACAGCCTGGTCAGCACTTTGAGTTCTCAGCCCAGTCTCAAGGTGAGTTGGGGGGGGGGGGTCTGAGACTGCAAAGCCTCTATGTGTACACCCTTCCTGATAAAGCAAATTCTCGAACGCATAGTATGCTCCGGGGGCCAAATTAATGTCCACAGCCCTCTGAGGCTGGGAAGGGGATGGCTTTGAGGGATTTACGTATCTACAGCTACAGCATGAAATTGGGGCTGCTGTTAACCTTCCCCTCCCCCTCAGATTACCAGCTTCCCCTGCTGTCACTCAAGCTGATGGGGACAGTTCTGAGAAGGAAGGAGCCAAATGGCACTGTTCAAAGGGTCTCAGTGCCCTCCCTCTCCCTCGCATGCATGGAGTACAGTTCCTCCTTCCCACTCCCTTGCATGCATGGAGTACAATTCCTACTTCCCTCTCCCTCGCATGCATGGAGTACAATTCCTCCTTCCTCTGAGTTGATCTAGGAAATTTTGCTGAGCATAAATATGATGAAAAATGGGACCCTGAATCTCAGAAGAGTCCTGCTGGGTCAGACCAAAAAGAGTTTCCCAAAGCGGTCAACCAGATGTTCCCCAAAGGCCAACAAACAGGGCCTCCCCTTCTTCTCACCCCCCAGCAGCAGGCATTCAGAGGTACAGTGCTTCTGACCATGGAAGCTCCAGATGGCAGCTTTTTATTATAAAAATGGGCAACTCTGCTGTTTAAAAGTCTGATTCTGGCTTCCGTTATGACTTCCTCCTCTGAAAGGTTGATAAACACTCCCCTGGCTAGTAGCCCCTAACCCAGGGGTCCTCAACCTTTCTGAGCCTGTGGGCACATTTGGAATTTGAACACAGAGTGATGGGCACAACTGCAGAATGGCTGCCAACCCACACACACACACACACACAGAGAGAAAGCCCGAGTGCAGAGGAAAAGAGGGGTAGTTTTAAAATACACTGGGAAAGAGAGGTGAGTGAGAATAAAACAAGGACTTTGGTGGCAGCTGCCACTGAAACGATCTGTATAGCCAATCAGATCATCTGTGGCAAATCAGAAGCCCTGACGGGCAAGAGCCCCACCCACTTTGTAAAAACACTTGGGGAGTGCCAGGAAAGGTGTGGGTGGATGCCACGGCACCCACTTGCACCACGTTGGGGAGTCCTGCCCTAACCACTCCCAGGCTGAGCCCTCCGAGGCAAGATCGCCCCTCACTCTCTTCCCCACACCCCCAACATCCTGCAGGTCAGCAAAGCCACCACCCTGCAGAAGACAGCGGAATACATCTGCAAGCTGCAACAGGAGCGAGTCACCTTGCAGGAAGAGGCGCAGCGCCTACGGGATCAGATCGAAGAGCTGAACGGCACCATCAAGTAGGCCAGCCGGGGAAGGGAATGTGGAATTCTGAGGGTGGAGTGGGGGGGCTTTCTGAAGAGCGCTGGATTCAGAAATGGGCTGTCAATGATTGTACGGACGGCGCGATGAGCAGCATCACTCAGTGCAAACCTGCCAACCGTGGGGGGCTGTGGGTGCCCAGCCTTCCTGCCGAGCCCCGGCTTCCCCCGCCCCTTTCACTTCCTTCTTGTGTCCTTCCAGCCTGTGCCAGCAGCAGTTGCCCGCCACAGGGGTGCCCATCACCCGCCAGCGCTTTGACCAGATGCGAGACATGTTCGACCAGTATGTGCGTTCGTGCACCTTGCAGAACTGGAAGTTCTGGGTTGTATCCTTTTGGAGAGGAGGGAATTACCTGGATGAGGAGTCTGCCAGTAGCAGGGATTAACCGCAGGATTAGGCAGCCATTTAAAAGTTTCCTGGAAAAGCCGATGGGGACGGGATGGGGGGCAGGGTGGCCAGTTCCGAGGTGGGACATACCTGGAGATTTTGGGGGTGGAGCCTGAGGAGGGCAGGGTTTGGGGGAGGGGAGGGACTTCCATGGGGTATAATGCCAGAGAGTCCACCTGCCAAAGCACCCATTTTCTCCAGGTGCACTGATCGCCTTTGCCTGGAGAGCAGCTGCAATCTCAGGAGATCTCCAGTCAACCCCTGGAAGTTGGCAACCCTAAAGAGGGAAGGAAGGTGTGCACAGGGGCAGTCTGGGAGTCAGTCAGCCCCCCCTACCCAAAATGCATTGCCCTTAACCGCTCACCCTGTTATCAGTTCAGCATCATCATGAGACCCCTCTTTGAGTCCTTCAATGGGATGGTTTCCACCACCAGCATGGACAGTCTCAGTCAGACATCCTTTGCCTGGCTGGACCAGTACTGCTCTCTCCCAGCTCTCCGGCCAAGTGAGTAGCTTCTCCCCCTCTCCTCCCCGCTGCCTGCCGAAGCTGCAGACATCCGGGCTCTTCCTTGCTTTCCAAAGTGGGCGCTGAGATCAGACACGCGCGGAGCCCCAGGTGGAGAGCAGCAGTCTAATAGTGCTGAGAAACATGTTAACCACATACCCAGCTGTGAGATGGTTTGTGCATGCCCTCTGAACGCTTTTTGTATCTGAACGCTTCTTTTTTTCATATGTGCTGCCTCCCCAGAGACCCGTTTGAGGAGACTCACAAAGTTAAAAAAAAAATTGGCACAGTAAACTCAAGGAGCTGCGGTGGCTCTCAAGTGGTTAAGACGCTGAACTGCAGGCTGTGGAAGGTCGGTAGTTCAGCAGTTCGAGACCCGGGTGCCGCAAGACGGGGTGAGCTCCTGTCTCTAGTTCCAGCTCCTGCCAACCTAGCAGTTCGAAAGCAAGAAATTGCAAGTAGATAAATAGGTACCACTTCGGTGGGAAGGTAACAGCGTTCCGTGCGCCTTGGTGTTGTTTAGTCATGCCGGCCACATGACCACGAAAACGTCTTCGACAGCGCTGGCTCTTTGGCTTTGAAACGGAGATGAGCACCGCAACCCTAGAGTCGGATTCGACTGGCTTTCGAGCAAGGGAACCTTTACCTTTACTTTAAACTCAAAAAAACAACAGCAGCAGAATTATCGATGTGAAAACAAGCCAGGGGTGTAATGCAACCTTCCGCTGCCTAAAATGATATTGGTAAAGCAGTCCTCTGGCTTGAAGCAGACCAGAAAAACAGCTTAAAAAAATTGGAACCCTTCAGTTAAAAGTCGGTTTTGTTAAAATGTTTTGGCCGGGTGCCTGAAATACAAAAAAGTAGGCACCAAGTGAACCCCAAGGCAGAGCGCATTCCAAAGTCAAGGCGTTACCACCACAGAAAAAGCCCCATCTGCTTCACCTTTCTGGGAAGAGGGAGGGGGAAGAGACAGACCCAACGTCCCACAAAGGCAAATGTGAACTAACATTAATTTGATCGCATGAAGTTGCCTTATAGAGTGTTGGACCATTGGCCAAGGTTGTCTACTGGGATTGGTAGCGGCTCTCCAGGTCACAGACCAAGGTCTTTTGCATCATCAAGTAACCTGAGCCTTTGAACTGGATGGGGGCTGAACCTGGAGACTTGTCCGTGCAGAGCAGGTGCTCTGCCACTGAATCTGCAACTAGGGGTTCTCCGGGTGCAAGCAGCTGTAGGAAAGCTGCTGAGAATGCTTCACTTTTCTGAAAACAGCTTGCAAGGTTGTTGTTTTTTCTTTTTCGTATTTTTGCATTTGTGTGCGTGCCTGTGCCTGGAAGTCATGGCAACCTCTGGCAACTCCTACAGGGCATGGAGGGTGTTCAGAGAAGTGGCTCGATAGCCTGCCTCTGCCTCCTGGCCCTGGTATTCTTTGGTGGTCTGGTATGGAAACAATATATACAGACATGTGCTAGATGCCCACAGAGCAATACGACAACAAATGAGACTATATTAAAGCCATAACATATTTAGTGTCTGGTAATAAAGACTAACAACATATTCCATCACAGGAAAAAAGAAAGACAAAGGTCGATAGAAATTCGCACAGCAGTCTGCTCAAGTCTCTCTCAATCTATATCACTCAAACAATCTGTTGTCCTTATCAGGGGTCGTTTCGTAGAAAAAGAGCTAGGGGAACTCATTAGCATAACTCATTAGCATACGCCACACCCCCTGACATCACCGGAAGTGTGTCATAAGGCCACACACCCTGCCTGCAATGGTCCTGGCCGCCGCCGCCGGCCTTGCAACTCCAGTGCCGAGCCCCATGAGGGGCCCGGCGGTGGACCTGCAAGGCCAGCGGGAGTGCAAGGAAGCCCCGCGAAGGCCCTCCCTGGCCCCAGGCAGGCAGGGGTGGGGAGAGGCAGGGAGGAAGCAACTTACCCTCCCTCTTCTCCTGCCTCCTCCTGGCTGAATGAGGGCCGGAAGCGGGGCGGCCGGAAGCAGGGTGCGGAGCTTTGCCATGTGCCCCGCCCCCCGTACCTCACCCGGGGGAACTGCGACCCCCCCTGAAATGACCTCTGGTCCTTATTCAAATTCACAAAAGCAGCCTGCTCAAAGTTCAATAAGTCTGTGTTTCTCTTTCAGTCTACACTTTTTCCGGATATCTAAGTGTTTCAGACCTCTGGTCTTTCCTCAGGAACAAATCCTATATAGGAATCTTACATTCAGTCTTACATTCAAGTGGACACTTTCGTTGATTTGCTTTTCTGTTCATCTATTTGGGCAAGGTCTCCTCCCTTGTTTCCAAGCGTGCTGAAACTGCTGCCAAAGTAAAGCGGTCGGCCCTGCTCAGGTTCCGAGATCGGGCTTGCCTCGGCCACCCAGGTCAGGGCTCTGCTGGCATGTTTTGATCTACAGATACCCCAGGTTAGCCCGATCTCGTCAGATCTCGGAGGCTAAGCATGGCCAGCCTTGGCCGATTTCAGGATGGGAGACCACCAAGGAATACCAGGCTCGTGACGCTGAGGCAGGCAATGGCAAACCACCTCTGAATGTCTCTTGCCTGGAAAACCCGCCTACAGAGTTGCCATAAGTCAGCTGTGACTTGACGGCACCTCCCACCACTCTTAGGCTTATTCAACACAAAGCCACGCTGCAGTCCGGAAGGGACGAATAGCCACACGGGAGCCTGCCTTTTATGGACTTCCAAAGTACGAGCGTCACCCTGGCCATTCACACACAGCCCACTCCAAAATGTTTTATAGCACTTCTGAAAAAAGGGCAGGCGCTGATTCCGGCAAGTCCTCGGGAGAACGGAAAACGGGGCAACCCCCAAGAACGCCGTTCCTATCTAGTGGGGACAGCACACGGTTGGTACAGTCAGGGTTTTGTGAGTGCCACAGTAGCACAGAATCGCAGGGAAAGGGTGGAAAGACTGCTGTTTTAAGGATCAAGCTGCTGTTTAAAACAGAAAGCAGAGTAGGTGTCTAGGCCTCCTGGTTGCAGAAATACACATCTAGTAAAACCAGACTATGCTATGCAAAGGAGTCCATGTTGCAGAATGAATTATGCAGATTTGGCTTCCTGGGCATCTTACTGCTGCCCTCCTACTGTGGGCCTGATGCAAGAACGGAATCTCCTACAGCGTGCTCGCAGTTTCTGATAATGCAACAGAATTGGGGGGAAGGGAGTTGCAATGGACTCAGTGGGTCTTACTTCCAAGTAAATGTGCGCAGGATCAGCCTCTAAGTCAGGCAGCACATGACTCTTAGGGATTTTAGTGATGTATAAACAGCTTTTTAATTAGGGGCCCCGATGCACAGGTCCTTTGAGCACCCTGCACCGTAGGAGGTGTCACATTTCCAAAGCTGGCTAGTTGATTCCTGCCCCTGGAGGGGGCGCTGAACCGGGCGCTAAACCGCAGCATCGGTTTCACTATGTTCCCCCCCCCCCTTGCTTTCCCAGCTGTCCTGAGCTCCCTCCGTCAGCTGAGCGTTTCCACTTCGATCCTGAGCAACCCGGCAGGCATCCCGGAACAGGCCACCCAGGCAGTGACGGGCACAGTCCCCAACCACAGCTCCTCCTAACTTGCATTTGGGGGGCGGTGCAATGGCTACAGCAAGGCAGAGCCATCGCTCCTGCAGAAGAACTGTTTGTGCAGAGTGGATGCCTGGAAGAGTCGCCCCCCTGCTGGTTGGGGCCGGGCATTGGCCTGGAAGGGACCTTCACCGTGGCTTCTTCATCCAGATTTCTTCTGAGCTGCCTTGTTCCTGACTTCCTGGAAATCACTGTGGGGGGGGGGGGGGGGGGGGACCCAACCCCACTGCTGCCCCTGCTCCTCTCACTGACGTCTTTTACATAACCTTCCCTGTGACTTGCCAAAGGGCCCAGAGGGCCTAGAATGGAGGGGGGTATGCTTGCCTGGAGCTCCCTTTGCTTGTACCCTGTTTTCTGGGAACGAGGTGGTGCCGGTGGCAGCTGTTCACCAGAGAACCTCGCCTGCCTTCAGCCGGAGCTGTGCCAAGATTGCTGCCGCTTGTGCTTTTAACCCACATTGCGAAAGTGTTACAGGAGGCAAAGCCAGCTCCTCTGCTAAAAAACAACCACCGCCATCCTGTGTGCTGGCTTTGTCCTGTCATCATATATTAGAACTCTCACGGCACTCAACCTGGGGAAAGGACTGAAGTCTGAGGAGGGGGAGTCCACGGAGTACGTAGTCTTACTCCTGCAGGGTTTGTCTGGGAGACTGCCTGCGTAGCGTGTCCCTCTACACTTTCTGGGATGCCTCTATCCAGCACAGGGAGAAGGGCAAACAGCCCAGAATACTGTTTTGCTCCTCCTACTCCTCTGAACAGCAGGAAATTCCAGGAGCCGATTTTACAAGTTTTGTAATAAACTGTTTACGAATGTACTGGCCAAGCAGCTGGGAAATAAATATGCAGAGGCCCTGGAAGAGCGAGTCTCGGAGCAAAACCAGACGATGCTCCTCAGTAAACTTTTTTTCCAACTGGTTCTTAACTGTCTTTTTCTACCCGCTTTTCAAATCCGCAAAATTGGTTTTCAGTCCCCCGTTCGAGCAGATGGAGTGCAAAGCACATTCCGGGAGGCTTTCTCTCCTCCATCAAAGGCAGTCCATCCTCTTTACCTGCCGTCATCTGCCGAACTGTACCAGAAATGAAGAGAAATTGCATTTTGCTTAACTCAAGAGCACGTTTGCAGCCAGACGGTGCAAAACTGCAAACAAATACACAGTGGTTGCAAAACATGTCTTCCTTGAGGGTGTTTGCTAATTGCCTTGTGAGTTGTGTTGGTTTTTTCACAGGTGCCACTAAGCCTCTCACATTGATTGCACATGTGGCTATTGCTAGTATTAGAAGGATACATTTTAAAATGGAAGATCCGTTCTGCTTGCTGGTGCCGACTTTATACCATAAGCCCAGTGTCAGCCTCATAAGAACATAAGAGACGCCAATGTTGGATCAGGCCAAAGGTCCATCCAGTCCAACACTCTGTGTCACACAGTGGCCAGAAATACCAGTGCCATCAGGAGGTCCAGCAGTGGGGCCAGGACATGAGAAGCCCTCCCACTGTTGACCCCCTCCCCCAAGCACCAAGGAGACAGAGCATCACTTGCCCCAGAGCCCCTAGCTATACCTTGTGGCTAATAGCCACTGATGGACCTCTGCTCCATATGCTTATCTAATTCCCTTTTGAAGCCGTCCATGCTTGTAGCACCCACCACTTCCTGTGGCAGCCTCCTGTCTGGAAATGCCAAGATTTGCTTTTGTTTCAGCAGATGCAATCTAGACATTCTGATGTTTTCTCTATGGTTTTCTGGCATTTGGTTGCCTTGGGACTGGAAGTCTCTTCTGTCTGTGTGGTGTGCAGGTATATATGTAGCTGCCTTATACTCAGACCCTTGGTCCATCAGAGTCAGTGTTATCTACTAACACTGGCAGCAGCTCTCCAGGGTCTCAGAGGTCTTTCACATCAACTACCGGATCATTTTAACTGGAGGTGCCACGAATTTAACCTGGGACCTTTTGCGTGCCAAGCAGATGCTCTACCTCTCAGCCACAGCCCTGCATGTTACTGTACTGCCTTTTGCACGTGCCCAAAAGGAGCTGCGGTGGCTCAAGTGGTTAAGACGCTGAACGGCAGGCTGTGGAAGGTCGGTAGTTCAGCAGTTCGAGACCCGAGTGTGCCACATGACGGAGTGAGCTCCCGTCTCTAGTTCCAGCTCCTGCCAACCTAGCAGTTCGAAAGCAAGAAATTACAAGTAGATAAATAGGTACCACTTCGGTGGGAAGGTAACAGCGTTCCGTGTGCCTTGGTGTTTAGTCATGCCGGCCACATGACCACGGAAAGGTCTTCGGACAGCGCTGGCTCTTTGGCTTTGAAACGGAGATGAGCACTGCAACCCTAGAGTTGGACTCGACTGGCTTTTGAGCAGGGGAACCTTTACCTTTAAAAGGGCCTAGCTCCCCTGGGGATGCGTCCCAACTGTGCCAGCCCTTGCCATAAGATCAAAGGGCATCCTGCGACTGAACAGGCACGGAGGAGCTTCTTCAGGGGCAAAATTACATCAGGCACCTTTGGGGTGGGCTATAAACTAAAGGCAATGGTGCTGGAAGATGATTCCCCCCACCCTCAGATGCACTGCCAAGTAAATCACCTTCTTACATGCATCCTGGCATTATGGATATCTGCCAAAATCACACTCTTCAATGGGATTTTTAAAAATTATCCAGTAGATAAATTTGGGATTCCAGCCCTCATTGTTTGTGCAAAACATGGCAGTGATTATTGTAGTAACTGAGCTCCCCCGAGGGAGAAAATGAAGGGAAGGGAGCACTGAGGGTACCTAGGCAACACTGTATACATGGATGCTCACCTCTCCAGGAAATCTCAGTAATGTGAAGGAAACCCTGGGGGTGCAGGAGGTGTGAGCATAAACAGAATGCATATGGAGGGCTCTGTACATACTTCTGGACACTCCCCTCTCTAGGCAGTTCGTGAATACAGAAGAAACCAGAGGGAGGGGACAGTTTACTTACTTACATTATGACAGCACTTACATTATATGAGAACATAAGAAAAGCTCTGCTGGATCAGCCCAAAGGTCCATCTAGTCCAGCCCCCACACACACACACACTGGCCAGCTACAGGCCTCTCAGAGGCCCAAGTTACTTCCCGCTTTTGAGGCTCCCTAGCCACAGCCATAATAAAAAATGACATTACATAAAATAAGTTGTGAAACTTCTCAAATACCAAAAAATTAACAAGCACCTACATTTTAAGCCCTCTGTGTGCTTGAGGCCCAGCCAAATGGTGCTCTCCCCCCAATATTGGATTCTCTGCTGTTGCCTCGCCAGAGGTATACTGCCCCTGAATATGGAGGTTCGAAGTATCTAGCATTGCTAATAGCCATGGAGGGACCTCGTCGCGCCCAATGATTCGTCGAGCCTCTTTCTAAAGCCACCTGAGCTTTAAAACGCTCAACACCTCCTGGCTGTGCCCACGATCTTTGCAAATTAAACTGCAAGCGAAACTGCAAGCCGTCCCGCAGAGAGCACCAACAGCCACGCAAACAACTCCGTTAAAACGTCGGGGCTGCAGTACTAATTGCCTTCCAGTACGGGTCGCTGTAGTGGCTCAAGTGGTTAAGATGCTGAACTGCAGACTGTGGAAGGTCAGTAGTTCAGCAGTTCGAGACCCGGGTGCCGCAAGATGGAGTGAGCTCCCGTCTCTAGTTCCAGCTCCTGCCAACCTAGCAGTTCGAAAGCAAGAAATTGCAAGTAGATAAATAGGTACCACTTCGGTGGGAAGTTAACAGCGTTCCGTGCGCCTTGGTGTTTTAGTCATGCCGGCCACATGACCACGGAAACGTCTTCGGACAGCGCTGGCTCTTTGGCTTTGAAACAGAGATGAGCACCGCAACCCTAGAGTCGGATTCGACTGGCTTTCGAGCAAGGGAACCTTTACCTTTACTGCTCTCAGTTCGCGCGTGCGCAAAAGCACTCTTGGGCTCTCTGCCTTTCCCTGAATAAGCGCTGTGGTGGCGCTACGAAGTGCAGAAAGACCCGGTCTAAACATTTCCATTGGCACACTAAACAATATCAGGCGGATCTAGTTGCCTTTTAGCAATTGCAGGTTGCCAACCAAAGGATGGGGCTGCAGGTGCAATGGTGCTGGTTAAAGACTGTGTGATCGCATTGACGGTTAAGACTTGTGCAAATACGAAACCAAAGTCCAGTGGCGCCTTAATTAAAGCCTATTGGCACGTCCTCTCAACATCAGATTTCGCGAGATGGTGCTCACTTCCTCAGATGTTACGAAGAGGAAATCATTTACCATATTTTTATAAGGTGAATTACAGAAGGCGGAAAGGGAGGAGTTGGGGTCAGAACTGGTTCAGCCAAGGTGCTGATGGTGGAGGGGGGAGTTTTCTCAAGGTGCTGTTTCTTCTTAGGGTTGCCGTGCCTTCATTCATTCGGACTCCACGGCTTTTTACTGCAGTCAGGCTACCGTGGAGCAGTCGCTCCGTCGGGATCTCATCCTTCCTCGTCATCACTGGCTTCTCTGGGGCCATTTTGGGCACTACCCGCAGAGAGAAACAGCTTCTCCTCCACTACAGTGTTTTAAACCGTGTGGCTCTCACATCTGAACGACTGCGAGTTGATACATACATTCCTTCATTTCATTCCTCAATGAACAGGAATTTTATAACAGGCGCTCCAGCTCCCTGTTCTTTTCCCCTTTCTGCGATCTTGGTTATTAAAAAAAAAAAAACTGCAAAAGATTATTCTCCACGCGTCTGGAAAAAAGTGAGCCCTGACTCAGATCAAGCTCATGCTGGAATGAACTCTCGTTAGTCTTTAAGGTGTCGCTAGACTTCTGCTTTATTGTGCTGTAGCAGACTTAACACGGCTGACCCTCTGAAACTACTCCAGCAGAAATACCAGCTTCGGGTCTTGGGATGTCTGGGGAAAAGGCGGGTATATAACACTTTAAATAAGTTTTAAATAAGCCTCTGATAGGTCGGCCATCCTCGCAGAGTCCGGCATCTCCGATTACCGCAAGCAACTCTTGCATTACCTGCTTGAGTCTCCGTAACGTCTTCGACTGTGCATTGGACTTTGGATTCTCTAGGGGAAAAGTCATACTTAACCACGGGGTCGGGGGTGGGGTAGAAGAGGCGGTGTCCGCCGGAAGAACGCCGCATGCGCACTTCGCCTTGTCTTGCCACGTCAATCATGAAGGAGGGAAGAGGCAACGCATGCGCTATTACCCCCTTTCCGTTACCTCAGCGCGCTGAGACGGCCACGGGGCGGAGGAAATGGACGAAGCGTCTGGGGTGCTGGTCGCCGTGTCCCTTTTGCTCGGAGCGCTCGTTCTCGTGTTGCTGTTGAGACGGAAGACGCCGAGCGGAAAGGAGCCGCAGTCGTCAGAGAAGGAGGCCAACAGGCCGGCGGACGGTGAGGGGAGCGCGGTGGGCGGGGCCTCGACTCCACGTTCCTCGACCGGCCTGTGGGCGGGGCTTAGGTCGGACTTGCTTGTCTCGTCTGCGAAATGGGCGCAAGAGCTGAGCTGGAGGCAGAGCTCTAAAAGAATATTTTGTTTTTTAAAAAGTTATTTGTTTTGTTTAGTTACCTAATGGGGGGTAGTAATTCCTTAAATTATGTGGAAGTATTTATTACAGTGTTCATTTTTTACTTTATCATATTGTTTCGCATCCTTACGAAGGAAAACTACGCACGGCGTTGAGTTTATGAAATAATGTTGGAGTCGTTTGCGATCGCGTGCATTGGAGGGGCTCAGTAGTGGAGCGCCTGCTTTGCCTGCAGAAGAGTTCAGGTTCTGTCTTCCTTTGGGTAACTGTTGTTCAGAAAGACTTTGCTCTGCTTGAGATTCTGGACCGCTAAAAATTCAGCTAAATGGACCAATGGTCTGACTTGGTAGAAGCCGGCTTTTTCTAAACAGGCTCTTAGCTTAGTATCATTGCATATAGGCTCTTAGCTTAGTATCACTACATACAGAAGGTCCCCTTTCTTTGCTGAAGATGCTTGGAGATATGCAGCCAGGCATAGAAAGCAATGGTGAACTTGATGGGCCCAGCCTCTGGCTCAGTAGTAGAAGGAAACTTCACACATGCATATGTACACAGAGCTGTTCCTGTGCCAAAACTGCCTCCCAGCGTGCTCAGGAAATTGAAATCTGCTCTACATGCTGCTGCCCCCAGCAGATGTGAATTAGCACAAGCATGCATTCTGCTCTGGCAAACTATGCAGCTCCTTTGCTTGTATAGGCCCAGAGTCAGGACATCCAGTCTGGAGAATTACAGGGTGCACCAGCTCCTGCCACACTGGGTTGCTTCAGATTTTTTTTTTGAGGGGGGAGGCATGAAAAGCCTTTTGTATGTGAAGATAAACATGGACAGAGTGCTATCAATGGGAAAAGGGCCCTCCGGGGGAGACATAAGTTTCAGAAACTTTCAGTATCTGGGGTTGGCTACTGGAGATTGAATCTAGGGCTTTCACGTGAGGTGTAAGTTACAGGAGCCTTGCAAGCTAGTAAGAAGAAATGTTGCTATTTACTTATGGCCTCCAATGAAAGGCAGCAGATTTCTGGAAAACTGTCCGGCTTGGAGGCAATTCCAAACCTGCCTTAAATGGTGAATTGCAAGTGGCTGTTAACAAACTTAGATCGCAGACTTGGGTGGCTCCTAGCGGGAAGTGCTGTCAAGTGGCAGCCAAATTTTGGTGACCCCATAAGGTTTTCAAGGCGAGAGATGAACAGAACAGAGGTGGTTTGCCATTGCCTGCTTCTGTACAGCAACCCTAGACATCTCTTGGTTGTCTCCCATCCAAGTAGTAACCAGGGCCGACCCTGCTTATCTTTTGAGTTCTGATGAGATTGGGCTCGCCTGGGCCATTCGGGTTAGGGCTAGCAGCCTTGTACAAGATAGCTGTTCTTTCACATGGTAGCAGCTGCCTTGACAGCTGGTGATTGCTTCCTGCAATGCATTTCCACCCAGCCTCTGGTGGAGCATTGGGGACGGGGTCCACAAGGCTTGACTCATGGCATATTGAAAAATCTTGTATTCTGTAGATCACAATGTGAACGGTGAAACAACTGGCAAAACTTCCATCCAGAAGAAACAGAAGCCGCACCAGCGAAGTCGAAAAGAGAAGCCTCAGCAGCACAATTTCACACACCCGCTCGTGGCTGCAGCCCTCAAGGTTAGCGCTGGTGTTGTGGGTTGTGTTCCAGAGGCCAGCGGTTCCAATATGTTGCTGTCCACGTGTCCGGGAAAACGGGGTCTGGACTTCTGACACTGATCAACCTTCTTCAGTGTCATCCTTGGTCATCAGCCAGTCTTTCTTCTGCAGAAATGATTCAAGGTCATAGCTCCAGGTTTTACAAAATGGGAGCAAGAAACTGGTTGAACACACACATGTACCTTCTCTCTCTCTCTCTCTCTCACACACCCCCCAACAATTTCTCAGCTTTCCATGAGCACTGGAAAATCCCCACTTCATATAACTTGTGCCTACTGGAGGAGGAGAAAGTAGAAATATCACTAATGACTTATTTTCGTTAGCAGATCACCAATGCATAACTGCTTGGCCAGTTTGAATGGAGAGTGGGGATCTGGGCTTCTTGGCCACTCTGTAATCGGCTTCTTTGGGTGGAGGAGGTTCCTAGTCTCATATCAACAGATGCAGTTTTTTGCTGAAATAACTAAGCAGTCTGACCAGTAGTTTGGTGTACAGAGATAAGAATAGTCCAGTTTGTCCAAATAAACCAAATAGTCCAGCACAGAGGATAACCTGACTGTTAAAATACAATTAAAAAATTTAAATAGCGGAGCAGCTGACTGAAGCTGTTTATTCGCTGCCACCTTGGCCACGTCGTATAATTTATTATGCTGGAGCTGGGGATCCAGGTTAGGAGGGATGAATGTGAGCAAATGCTGTTACATGTACCATTGTGGTTTTATTTACTTCATTTAATCTCCCATGTTGTGACTCAAGGCGGATTGGGGGGGAAGACTGGGGAAGGATAGGAAGGGGGGGGAGCTTGAAGAATGACTTGAAAAAGAGTTAGCACCCTGTCACCTGAGAGGGTGTAGAAAGTTACAGGATGTGACTGGCTTTTCCTTGAAGAAGATTTTTCTTGTCTCATTTCTTTTCCAGTTTTTGGGGTACAAGAAGATTTAGAGATCCTTCTGTTCAGTGGTATTGCAGAATTTTTAGCCTTTAGTCCCCAAAACGTTTTATTTGTAGGCATGACTACAGTGTGGCAGCTTTTTGTCGTGTAATTTGGCCCTCAAGAAGGTCTGATCTCCTTCTGTTACAGTACCCCTCCCTGCACAGTTTACCTTGTGAAAGCTGCTTTAGCCTAGTTTCTGCCAGTAACCTTGCCTGGAGTGACAGGATGTCCCTGGCCAAATGCAAAAAGAACTCAGAAAATACTTCTGCTGCTCAGTACACATGAGGCATTACAGGGTATTCAGCTTCAGGGAGGCAGGTGTGTGCACAGGTCCACCCTGCCCTGGCCAGCTGTGAATGTAAGGAGCCAGTGTCACAGTACCAAATGGTGGGGTCCACCCCCTCCTTGGCATCTCCCACCATGACTATTTTACTCAGCTATGGGGCAGTCTTTACTCCTCCCACTCTGGGGCCGAAGATGACAGCAATTGTGATGTAGTGGGTAGTGTTGGCCGAAGATCTCGGAAGACCTCGTGAATCTGCACTCTACCATGGAAATTCGGTGGATGAGCTTGGGCTGGTAATGTGCTGTCAGGTTAACCTGCCTCACAAGGTTGCTGTGAGGACAGAGAAGAGGAGAGCAAGATAAACCACTCTGGGTCCCTATAGGGATCAGAGTCGGGGTATAAATCAAGTAAATATAGAGGCATTTTGACCTCTACTCATTTAATACAGGACGTGGGAACTCCACTGACGGTTTGATTGCCCTTCATGCTCCTGTGGCATGGCCAGATCCTTGGGGTATTAGAACACTCCCAGAGTGTTGTTCATTGAGAATGCAAAAGTGTATCTTTTTGGTGCTCTGCAGGGTCACAGTGGGAGTATAAGCTGCTTGGACTTCAGCAGCAATGGCAAGTACTTGGCATCCTGCTCTGATGACCGCACAGTTCGCATCTGGAGCACCAAGGATTTCTTGGAGCGGGAGCACCGCTGCCTGCGGGCCAACGTGGAATTGGATCATGCTACCTTGGTCTGCTTCTACCCAGACTCCAGGTACGGAGGGCGTACACGTTGCGGTAGGGGAATTCTGGGGCAGGATGCAACGAGCCCCTCCTGACCTTCCCTCCCAGGGACTTTGCTACCTATGTGCATCTATTTCTTAGCCTGGCTGTGGTGTTTCTTAATACATGCCCTAAGGAACCACGAGCAACCCACAAAGGTGGGGGAAAGGGAGAGGAGAGAAAAGGCTAGGGACTCTGAGGGCCGCTGGCAGGTCTGCTGCAATCTGGGAACCACCTCACCTAGGAGCTAAGTGGTTTGTCCTCTCTCCCAGCTGAGCCCCAGGCACTGGTTCTTTACAGGGGCACTTGGCTTGCGAAGGATTAAAGTTTGCCTATGGCAGCTCTTGCTTCCCCTTCCACTTTTCTGTAACATATGTAGAAGTTCGCAGGGCAGGGCAGGGCAGGGCATGAAGCTGGATCGGTTCCCCAAGCCTGTCTCAGCCAACTTCAATGCCAGAAGCCACGGCCAGCAACGCAGAGAGGTGGAGGCTGCTGGTCTGCAAGGCACAGCAGCTTGTTCCTTGTGTCGCTTCCAGGCAGTGACTCTCCTTCCTTCACTCAGAGCCTTCATTGTCTGGCTGGCTAACGGTGACACCATCAGAGTCTTTAATATGACCAAGAAAGAAGATGGTAGCTTTGCTTATGTCGCCACCCCGGAAGACTTCCCCAAACAGCACAAAGCCCCTGTCATCAGCATTGGAGTTGCTGACACAGGTATTCCACTGGGCCCTTTTTGCTTTCCCGCTGCTGGAGATGGAGGGGTTCAACCACTCCACGATGCCTTTCTTTGAAAGGCGCCCTATCACTTGGTCCTTGTAAGCACCCCTACCTTCATCGGGCCAGCTCCAGGAAACCCCCTCCAACCTCTTTCTCTCTGCACAAGGGAAGTTCATCATGACAGCATCCAGTGACACCACCATCCTCATCTGGGACCTGAAGGGGGAAGTCCTGGCCAGCATCAACACAAACCAGATGAACAATGCCTTTGCAGCTGTGTCGCCGTGTGGGAGGTAAGGATGGTGTCACCTGCGTGCCCAGGCTTGTCTCTGCAGCAGAGTGGGCACTCGCATGTAGGTGTGTTGTCTGGTTGTGGTCTAGTTTGGGAATCAAATGCCCCATCTGTGGTCTTTCCTCTCTTCAGGTTTGTCGCATCCTGCGGCTTCACTCCGGATGTGAAGGTGTGGGAGGTGTGTTTCAGTAAGAGCGGAGACTTCCGGGAGGTGGCTAGGGCCTTCGAGCTGAAAGGCCACACAGCAGGCGTGTATTCCTTCTCTTTCTCCAATGACTCCAGGCGGTAAGGCACTGTCTCAACTTCCCAGAATAGCTAGCTTTGGCCATCCCTGATGAGATCATAAGAACATAAGAGACGCCAATGTTGGATCAGGCCAAAGGCCCATCCCGTCCAACACTCTGTGTCACACAGTGGCCAGAAATACCAGTGCCATCAGGAGGTCCACCAGTGGGGCCAGGACATTAGAAGCCCTCCCACTGTTGACCCCCCCAAGCACCAAGAAGACAGAGCATCACTTGCCCCAGAGCCCCTGTGCTAGTGAAGGGTAGAATTAACTCTGTGCCAAGCGGATATGCTCTTCCTTTCACTTGGCTTTTCTTCTTGCTAGATAACGGGTTGAAGGTGTGTCCTTTGAAGGTTTGCCGGTACATGCTCAAGTTCTGATTGGTTTATATGTTTAGGGCCCAAGCCATGCCTGATGCACTGTAACCTAAGGTGTTGAAACATTCCAGGCTCTTCTGGCTTGGCCCAGATCCCCAAAGGAAAACAGTTTTAAAAGTACTGCAGAAGGATGCCAGAACTTTGGCAAGTTTCTAAGGGATGGAAGTTCTGGAGCAGCAACAGATGAACCCCCTTGGTTGACTTTGGGGACCACCAAAGAGCACAAGCAAGGGGGTGGTCCCTGTGTAGGGGCCAAACCTTTGAGGACATTGTTCTAGGGTACTGTCGACACCTTCAGCTGTACCCAAAAGGCTACAAAGAAAGCTGGTGGAAATGCTGGGAGTCCATGTATATTCTTGACAAGGAATTAAGATCTTGGGGAAATGCCCTCCTGACTGCCCCGTCAATTAAAGATGGCTGGTTTGGTGGGTACACAAGAGAGAGTGCCTTTTCTGTGGAAGTCCCACAATTATGGAACAACCTCCCCAGGGCGATGTGCCTGGCCCCCCTCACTGTCAGTCTTCAGGAGGCAGTTGAAGACATTTAGGACTCCATTTTGATGGATCTAGCTTTTATTATTGGTGGTTCTACTTAGAGTTTTTAAATTGTGACTTGTATCAATTTTATTGTGTTTTTTTTAAAATAATGTTTTATTTATATTGTAAACCGCCTTGTATTCCACAAGGAAGAAAGGCGGCGAATAAATGTTTTAAATAAATAAAATGAAATGTAGATGCCAGACGGCCAGCAAGCAAACAGTAATGTTTGTTTATTTACTTAATTTATAGTCCAACTTTGTTGCCGAGACGCAAGGCGGATTACGAAATATAAAAATCAATTCAAACGGACAGCAGAGACCTCCAATAAACAATGTAGTTAAGACTAAGATTACAGAATTGAGAAACGACGGAAACCAACTGTCCAAAGCAAAAAAAACTCTGCAAGATATAACATACCACAAAGCAGACAGTGGGGTTACAAAGGTAGAAAACAGTGTAGTAAGAGGAAAATAAACAGATTAAACATTGCAATAGGTTACACTCCAATTCAGTTTGGTGTAGTGGTTAAGTGTGTGGACTCTAATCTGGGAGAACCAGGTTTGATTCCCCACTCCTCCACTTGCACCTGCTGATGTGACCTTGGGTCAGTCACAAGCTCTAGCACAGCTGTCCTTGAAAAAGGGCCGTTTGTGTCAGAGTTCTCTCAGCCCCACCCACCTCACAGGGTGCCTGTTGTGGGGAGGGAAAGGGAAAGGAGTTTGTAAACTGCTGTGAGACTCCCAAGTGAAGGGCGAGGTATAAATCCAATGTCCTCCTCCCCCTCCTCCTCTTCCTCTTCCTCTTCTTCTTCTAAAAGCAGCCAGAGAAAGAGGAGAATTTTGAAGGATTTGTCTAGGCATGCATTGCCTGACTTTCTCTCCTTCCCATTTCCCCTCCCCATTGTCTTTTGTTCTAAAAAACAATTATAGGTAGCTGGATAGCAATGATCATTCTGAGAGCTCGAGAAGAATATGGAGACACTATAAGCTAATCCAGACTGAAAGGGAGGTGGGGCTGAGGGAGGTAGCTGTTTGGAATAGAAAAGAGACAGAAGAGGTGGTGGGCAGGTTCTACAACAGCAGCACACTTGGAAAGAGGAGACACTTTCCAGCTCCTTTCACCAACCCAAGTGCTTATCACCAGTATTTTCCCACCCTGATTGCCTCAAAATGACATTAAGGAGGTTCATTTGCCTCCTGTCATATCGTAGATTACTACCAACCTTTTTGTTCCTATGCTCCGAGATAGAAGTCCCTACTTTATTTTCATTTACAAAGCATATGGTATCTCTCCCTCCCATCCACAGGATGGCGACAGTCTCAAAGGATGGCACGTGGAAACTGTGGGACACAGATGTTGAATACAAGAAACAGCAGGATCCCTACTTGCTGCTGACGGGTAAATGTGAGGTGGCAGAACCCTGCCGCATCGCTCTGTCCCCCGATGCCCGAGTGCTAGCCATCTCCTGCAGCACCAGCATCTTTGTATACAACACCAGGGAAGGCAAGGAGGAAGAGCGCTTTGAGAATGTCCACGGGGAGCACATCACAGACTTGGCCTTCGACGTGAACAGCCGCTTCCTGGTCTCCTCTGGGGACCGGGCCATCCGGGTCTTCCACAACACAGCCGGCTACCGGGCAGTGGTGGAAGAAATGAAGGTTCTGCTGAAGAAGGCCACCAATGAGTCCACTAGGCAGAGACTGCAGCAGCAGATCACAAATGCCCAGAACTCACTGGAGAGTATCTACGGCAAGGGGAAGTGACCCTTTTCCATGTACAGTGCTCCCATGCAGATTTAGGGTCAGGATTTTAAGACGGGATACGTGCTAATAAAAGAATTTTTGGACAAGTCTGGCTTCCTGAGATTTCCTCTTAACTGCCTAGTTTCAGAGTTGGTAAGAAACGCATTAGGAGGAGTCTGTGGGGGGCTAGTGGCGAAGAAAACTTTGCATGCTTCCAAAGTAGGCCTCCAGCCGAGGATTCGAGAACTCCCATCCTTTTGCAAATTCTCCATAAAGTCTGGGGCTCCTAGAATGGTACCCTGGATTGTTTCTAGCCATGCGTGGAGCTGAGTCCTAGCAATGGCATTTCCTTATGCATTGATGACTTTTGCCATTTAGATGCAGAATTTGGCATGGAACGCAGCAGTCTGAGCATGCCAAGTTTGCTTATTTTTAAGAGGATAAAGTACACTGGCAGCTCTTATGGTTGACCAGAAGAGTCTGGACAGCCAGGGCCAACAAATGGTGAAATATCAGTTGGCTGAGCAAGATTTCTCATCCATTTCATGGGTCTTGCTCTTCTCCCTCTGGGCTAAACAGTGCATATAGATTGCCTGCATATATGCAATCTGCAGAATTCCTTCTGTAAAATTAGGAGTTTTGCTGCAGCACTTGTATTTAGATCCTGTATTAACATACAGTGTTCGGTGAAGGTAGATCAGTTTGTCTCGGGGAACGCTTCCTTTCAGGTAGGAAAAAGCTCATCGCTCTTGTGTGTTCTTAGTTTTTTTAGGAGGATTCCTGTGCACTCCCAACATGGGCTGAATTTACAGAACCAAGAAATCTCTTGAAAGTCTAAAGCAGGGGTTCCCAACCTTTTTGAGCCTGCAGGCACATTTGGAATTCTGACATGGTGTGGTGGGCGCAGCATCAAAATGGCTGCCACGGGAGGTGAAGCCAGCCACAGAATGATTGCTACAGCTTAATTTCAGTAACAGTGTAGATCCTCGTACAGTGGTGGCTGCCACCGCCAAAGCAACATTTTAAAAAATCTGCACAGCCAGTCAGAAGCCTTGCTGGGCAAAAGCCCTACACTTGGGCGGGTGCCAGAAAAGGTGTTGGTGGGCACTGTGCTGGGGACCCCTGGAGAGGCATAGCTTATAGATGCTTGATCTGACCCTCCTCAGCAAAAATCCCAGCATCCACCCCTGGTCCAAGTAATCCTACTTTGCTGCCTTCGATGTTTTCCTTGTACAGTTTGTGTTTTAACTTTTATCTTACCCTTCTCTAAAAACCTCTGGGCAATGGACAAGGCTCTCGACCGGCCTTCTGCTCACAGGACATTCTGAATGTCCCAGTCAGGTCTGCTTAACCAGTACTTTTTATGGTATAAAGGTTTCTTCTCTAGCTGAATGGTGCATGCTCCCCACTATATTGTAGTAAACTCAGTCTTACTGTTTTACTACACAGCAGCTTATGTTTGCTGCCCATGTGAGGGAGTGCCACTGTTGGGTAAGGTGGAATAGATACAGTCAAGAAGTACTGCTATGCACACCACCAACTGGTGCCTCAATGTGTTCTGGTAATGACTACCCCATTCAGTTCTATACAATTAAGAAATATATATATATATATACACACACACACACACAATTAAGTGAAGTGGGCTTGATTGCTTATTTAGTTAGTGGATTTATAGCTCGCCACTCAAGCCTGCCAACCTAGCAGTTCGAAAGCAAGAAATTGCAAGTAGATAAATAGGTACCACTTCAGTGGGAAGGTAACAGCATTCCGTGTGCCTTGGCGTTTAGTCACGCCGGCCACGACCACGGAAACATCTTCGGACAGCGCTGGCTCTTCGGCTTTGAAACGGAGATGAGCACCGCAACCCTAGAGTCGGATTCGACTGGCTTTCGAGCAAGGGAACCTTTACCTTTTTACTTTACTCAAGCCAAAGGCGCTAGGGCTACTCTTACCTTTCAGTTACAACTGTAAACACGTAGTTGGGGGTGGGTGCTTATTGCTAAGTAACCGAGTACCGGATCAGTCTGCAGAACTAGTACGTTCCTAGAAGGGCAGCTGGCTCTGTAGCAGGGCCTGCCTTAGCGTAAAAGGCTCCTGGTTTCTGGTTCATTTCTTCGCCTGTACAAGCGCCCCTTGATGTATGCAGCTTTCATTCAGTTCAGAAATGCTGAAGCTACAGATTTGTGTTTCTTGGCTGTTCCTTTAAAGATTTATACCCTGCTTCTCACAACACATTAAAACAATGTTTTGCCAGTTATAGAGGGGGAGGAAGGGGTTCGGCCTTCCAGATGGCAGAGTAGCCTCCAAGCTGTAAATCCACTGGAACAGAAATTTCTTCCTGTTCTTCCAATAAGATGTCCCTGCTAGCTTAGTGGTGGGTGGGTGTGGGGCTTTGGAGGCCTAGTGTAGGGGCTCCAGTCAGGTCTTGAATTAATTGTGTTAATCTATAACCACAGGAGCTGCAGTAAGGCTCTCTGTTCTCACTGGATGGCCTTAGGCAAACAGGCTTTGCTCAGTCCCTGGTACCATGCGTCATTATCCACAGTACAGGGATGATAGCATTGGCCTACCTTATCCTCATGTAAAAATTACTATATACAAAAACGCCTTGATAACGGAAAGGGCTATAGATGGTCTTAAAAATAAATCATGATATTTAATAATAATACCATAATAAATAATACATATTCTCACATTTTACTATACATATTTTACCTATGTTGTATAGAAGCCTAATAGCCCATCATCCTTGTGGTTAGGCACAGAATAAGCACACCACACACATCACGTGGTGCAGCGCAGCCTCCGCCTTCGTACCTCCTCCACGCGCACAGGGCGGGAGAAGAGTCAGGGTGGTTTGCGCATGCGAACTGAGGACAGTTGCTCTTCCCGCAGGCGGGCGGGCGCGCTGACGCGTTACGCACGCAGTTGGGTGGGGCGCGCATGCGCGGCGGGCAGGAAGCGGCGACTGCTGGTGCGGGATCGGGGGCTGCCGGGGCCACGGGCGCCATGTCGGGCCGCTCGGTGCGGGCCGAGACCCGCAGCCGCGCCAAGGATGACATCAAAAAAGTGATGGCGGCCATCGAGCGCGTTCGAAAATGGTGAGAGGATGGAGGGAGGGGCCGCGGGAGGGAGGGACTTAGAGTTTTTTCAGCCAATCCCAGCTAAACGCAGTCGTGGTGATAGCGGAACAGCCAATCAGCTGTAAACCTATGCGTTAGAGGGCGGGTTTATTCTTACAGGTCCAATCTCTTTCCGCTGCTTGAAGAGGTGGGGTTGCTGCACGTAGTCCGGTTGGCCAGGGCAAGTCCTATGGCGTGGTTTTGAATGGTGTTTGGGTTGCCATGGAGATTGAGGGATCTGCCCTCTGCTGACCCAGTTTATTACGGGATGGAGACAAGAGGAACCAGGGATTATTTGCATATGTCACCTAGTGGAAATAGTAGAGAGTCGTGGAAATTGCCAACAGGCATAGTGGGTTCCATTCATTTCATTTGGAATTTTATTTCCGGGATGATAGGGGGGGGGGGGGACAGATAAAAGTTGGTTAGAGAATGTAGATGTTGCACCTCACGGATTACGAACCCATTATCTGGGTATCTTCAGCAACACTACTATAGGGTAGGACAGTATCATCTTTGCCCTCCTCTCTGTATTTTACATGGGATGGATCTTGTGGCACTTTAAAGCCTTTCAAGTTTTTATTCTAGGATGGATTACACACCACTTTTAGTCAAATCCATATGGTAGTCCTCACTACACAAAAATGTACATGAGCCTATGAACAGCAATTTTAAATAGCAAGGATACGGGACCATGAAATGCAGGAAGTACTAAGTGAGATGTAATTTGGGGGGGGGAATGAAAACAAGGAAAAATGTAGAGGAGCAATCTGAAATCTTTCTAGGTGTTCTAAGCTAATTAACACACCTGGTGAGTCAGTGGTGACTGAACCAAATCCAAGCCCAGTAATATTTTAAATATGAACAAGATTTCCCAGCATATAAGCTTCTGTGAGTCAAAGTTCTTCACCAGGTATCCATCAGACTGGTATCTGACACACCGAGCTTTGATGATTCATGAAAGTTTATACTCTAGAAAATGTTGTTGGTCTTTAAAATGCTACTGGACTCAAATTTCGTGCTACCAGTACATACTCACATGGCCAACCACCTGAAACTATCCTGGTGACTGAAGAAACTCAAGTCTGTATTAAGTTCTCCGAATATGGTATCTGACTTCCTGGTGGTGGAAAGCTGACTTATCGCAACCCCGTGGGGTTTTCAAGGCAAGAAATGTTTAGAGGTGGTTTGCCATTGCCTGTGTCTGTGTCAGGATTCTGGTATTCCTTGGAGGTGTCCCATCCAAATACTAGCCAAGGCCGACCCTGCTTAATTCTGAGATCAGCAACAGTGGTTCCTAGGAAGCTAAAGTACTCACAAACTGAATATTTCCAGTTTAATGTAAAATGCATGTCCATATGGAGCAGAGGAAGCATATGGAGCAGAGGAAAGCATATGGAGCAGAGGTCCATCAGTGGCTATTAGCCACAAGGTATAGATAGGGACTCTGGGGCAAGTGATGCTCTGTTATCTTGGTGCTTGGGGGGGGGGGTCAACAGTGGGAGGGCTTCTAATGTCCTGGCCCCACTGGTGGACCTCCTGATGGCACTGGTATTTCTGGCCACTGTGTGATACAGAGTGTTGGACTGGATGGGCCTTTGGCCTGATCCAACATTGGCATCTCTTATGTTCTCATGTTCTTATGGATCTGTGATACTTGTAAAAACCATAGGAATTTATGCCGATCCATTTAAAGCTAACTTTAAGGAACCTCCACGTCCTGATGCAGGAAATCTTTGAATAACAGATGCAGGTGGGGGCAGACAGGGATGAGTTCCTCTATCCTTTTGAAACCCATCTGTGACTTGTGCTTATCATGCTTGCATTGCATCTAGTCTCTCTTATGCCCTGAAACAGGGAGAAGAAGTGGGTGACTGTGGGAGACACATCCCTGCGGATATTCAAGTGGGTGCCTGTAGTCGACAGCAAAGAGGTAAGAGGCAGCTAAAGGAACGGATCCTGCTGGGAGGAGGGACCTCAGGCTGGCCTTCAGCAGGGCTGAGCACTGCAAGGGATAGGATCGGCCCATCTTTCCCTCTGGGATGGAAGCACACTTGATGGGAATCGGTGGAGGTTCCCTCCGTGAACAAAAGAGGAGGGAGCACCGACGTCCGCTTTTGTTTTCTATGCATGTGGTGGAATAGCCAGGTCCTAGCAGTCCAAAGCAGAGTCCTAAGTGGCAAACTTGGTGGGAGGCTCCAAGATTCCTCAGGGTGTTATAAGCCGTTCTCTTTGTACTTTCTTCCTCTAAGGAACTTGAGCTCCACCCCAAGTCAGGTGGAAAGGTCCCCAAAGACTGGCAAAATGTCCTTTTATTGCTCTGGCAGCCTCCACAGCCCAGTTCTGCTGGCTGTAAAGAGGGTGGGGATTCCTGCGGGTGGGTTGCCCCACATGGCACACCTGCAGCAACATGGTCTGCCCTTCCTCTTTTCTCTCCCTTCCAGAAAGAGAAGTCCAAATCCAGTAGCGCTGCTGTCCGGGAGCCCAATGGCTTTCCAGCTGAAGCTGCAGCCAACTCCTCGCTGCTCTTAGAGTTCCAGGGTGAGTAGGCCCTGCGCTTTCCTTGCTGGGCAGGGGTGGGGGCTGTGCCTCCCTGTGTCCAGAAAGACCTTCAATAACTAGGGCTATATTCTGTCTTGAAGAGGCACAGGGGAGGGAATAAGTCTCACTAACAGAGCACCAGCTCTGCATGCAGCAGTCTCAGATTCTGCCCCCGGCATCTCTGATAAAAAGGATCACATCTGGGAAAGGTCTCTGGGCTGAGAAAGGTCTCCTACTGGAGAATTTGGAGAGCTGCTGCCAGTCAGGGGAGAGATTGCTGTTCTAGGTGGATGGGATGGGCTGACCTGGCAAAAGAGCTTTGCAGGATCACTCCCCAGCATCTCTGCTTAGAACAGTTTCAGGTAGTGGGTATTGGGAAGCCACTGTCAGGCAGAGGAGGCTTCTTGGGATTAGATGGATTGACAGTCTGAATGGCAGCTTTGTGAGTTCAGTCCAAGGGCAACTGGTGATCCTGAGGTGTAACGAACTTCAGATTTGTTATAGTGGCAGTATTAATTGCAGGCAAATATTTGTCTGGTTTAATTTTTTATGTCAAATTCCGTACACACACAAACACAGTATTTTACAACAGCTCTGTAAGGGAGGGCATACATATCATTTACATACTAAAGAAAGGGATGGAGCTGAAGTTAGTTAAAGACGATAGTTCCCCTCCTCCAGAGAATTAAAAGTGATACGAAAAATGTATTCTTGCCTGCAATGTTCACCCTTCTTGACCAGAGATAACAGCAAGACAGCTGCACACATGGCGGGCAGTGAGAACATAACAAGTTAATCTGAGGGTTAGAGTCCAAGACTGAGGAAGCACAGGTTCAGATCCCTCCTCTGCCATGAAGCTAATCTGGGGCCAGTTGTGCTGCCGTAGGGTTGTTGTGAGGATGAAGGGGGGGAGCTTTGTCTGCCACCCCACCCGAGCCCCTTGGCATTTATGACAGATGAACATAAGACTGATCCTCATCTTCCAGACGAAAACAGCAACCAGAGCTCCTTGTCGGATGCCTATCAGCTCAAGGCAGACAGCAGCCCTGCCTCCAGCCCCAGCCCCCAGCAGAGCGAGTCGATGAGCCCCACGCACAACTCCGACTTCCGCACTGATGACTCCCAGCCGCCCACACTGGGACAGGAGCCGCTGGAAGGTGAGAGGGAGCACTGATAGCAAGCCAGTCGCAGTGGCAACCCTCGTCTGGTGCCTGAGCTCTGCTTGCGGCCCAGGATTTGGGGTGGAAGGGCAGGCTTTTGATGAACAAAGAATTTCACTGTGTTAGTTGCTCCGGAATAAAGGAGCATTGGTGTGGGGTGCAGCCAAATATCTCGTGGGGGTCAGCCTTGTGTACAGTGGCTGTTCCAGGCTCCCAGGCAGGGGGAGCAATCACTACCAGGAGCACCAGCCACTCGCAGTTCAGCAGAATTCTTGCTAGGTCCCTAACACCCCTTTCCCATGTGTCATTTCCAGAACCTGCCCTGCCTCCCTCTGAAGTAGCCGATGAGCCCCCAACCCTCACGAAGGAAGAGCCAGGCCCTCTGGAGGCTCAGGTAACGGTTGCCGGTAGAGCTTAGACGCTTGGGGAGGTTAGGTGGACGGAGGGAAATGCCTTCTGCCCCTGAAAAACAGTGGGACTCTTCCAGATCTGCACTCCTGAACCTTGACCCAAGGAGGGAGCGGTACTGTTATAGTGCTTTCCCATCAAGCCTTCACAGCGGAAGTGTTTGCAGTTGGCTATCAGCTTCACTTGATAGGTAGATGGACTGCAAGCTTTAATCACAGGTTGAAAGTCACTTGCCAGTGCACTGGCAAGGCAGAGATTGAGTGACACGGTTCGATTCAGGATGACCAGTGTCTCAAGCTTCCTCTGCCAAATTCAATAGGGGAAGCAAACCCACAAAGACAGCTTCTCCTTTTGGGTCATGTCCAAAGGTCAAGGGTGTTTTGTATTTCAAAGAGAATCCGCTGTGGTTTTCCTCTGGTTTTAAAAAAAGTACCACAGGCAACAGAAGTTAAAGTTGGGGTGTTTGCATCTTTCCCACCTTGATTATTTTATTTATCTATTTATTTATTTATCTATCTATTTATTTATTATTTGATTTATATCCTGCTCTCCCTGCATGCGGGCTCAGGGTGGCTTACAACATTGGCACTTTTGCTTCTGTGGTATTGCCACAAAAGGAACACTCCAGATTTCCAATTGTTGACACAAAGGTGGTTTTGAAAGGTGAACCTTCTAACAGCAAAGAGGGGTTGTTATCTCCTGTGCTGTAAATTGTCTCACATTGCAGAGAAATTGTGCTCTTCTCATTTACTCTAACATTGATCATATGCAAATTTATCGAAGTATTAGTAACTGATTAAAGGCAAAGTGGGTTAGTCACTCTCAAGCTCCTACCAGAAGCACAGATGCCGCCAATACCTCTCCTATTCAATGTTATTTTATTTATTTATTAAATTTCTTGGCCGCCCTCCCCACCAAACAGGGCTCAAGGCAGCTTATAACAGAGATATACAATAAATACATAAGTAAAAAAATTTTTAAACCAACAAAAGAAAACAACAGTAAAATTTATCAGTTCCAAGATGGCTAGCAGTCAGAATTCCTGGTTTAGCAAATCGCAGACCTCCCAGAAGAAACTTGTAAAGATTGGGGGGGACGAGACATAGAGGATAAGAGGAGTTTAAGCATGTAGGGCATAGATGGCCTGTGTCTGCATTCAGTGGAAGAAACAAAATCCCATATTTGTGTAGCATGCTGGTTGGAAAAACAGGTGTGGCCTCAGCTTGAAAGCTCCTCTCCTTTGTATTCCTGGCAGCTCTGTGTGGCTGTCGCTGGTTATAATCTGCTTCGGGATCGGCCCCAGGCTGCCTTCTGCCTCTCTTTCACCAGCCTCCTTTTCTTTCTCTGCTGCAGGCAGCTGGAGGGGAGGAGGATTCCGGAGCACCTCCACTCAAGAGATTTTGTCCCGACCAGAATTCTGCATGCCACACGGCCTCCGAGAGCTAGCTAGCTGGCTTCTCCCCTGCAATGTGGTCCTTCCCTAAGAGTCCGTCTGCCCCCCCGCCCACGAGACGCTCATCCTTTTGAAAACTGGGATACCCGTCTGCCGCCCCTCAACAGTCCTCATCCCGCCGTTCCTTGGGACCGTGCTCCCTCCCGACGCCAGCTTGCCTTCGCCCACTACTGCCAAGAGTCATCCCGTCTCCCCCCGACACAACATTCCCTTCCCTCTTTTACTCCCCTCATTTGCACGCTTAAGAGATAAGGTGCTGCAGCCTCTCTTTATTTTTATTTTTTTTCTCAATCCTCTGTGGACTCTGGGATGGGGATTGTGGTTTAGGAGATTCCTCGAGGACTAAGGGGTTTTCAGCACTTGATTGGACAACCCCCGAGGTCCCTCTTCCTCTTGGGAGCAAAAGGTTCTCCTCAGGTGGAAGCATGGGACCTGGGGGGGAGCCTAGCTGGGATGTCGTGCAATAGTTGTTGAGTTTTAAGCCATTAGGACAAGTGTGAGCCAGAGATTTGCACCTGGGTGGATGGTGGGGGTTCTGTATCGGGACAGCTGGCCTGGAGCCGGTAGGCTTGGCTGCCAAGAAAGGATCCTCCCCGTTAGGATCTGAGGACCTGCAGGCAGTCCTTGTCGGCTGGCGCAGGCGGGGCTCGGCCGGTTCCCGCTCCTTCAGGAAACAAGGGAGCTGCATGCCTCAAGCCAGTGGGGGCCTGTCTCTAAGCAGCCCCCCTCTTTTTGGGGTGGGCTTCCCCGCTAGAGCAGTTGCCCCCAAACCACCCAGCCCCCTCTGGCCCTTGCAAACCTGACCCGTCACAATCTGCACGTGGAATTGAGTCTGTGATTGAGGCCCTGCCGCGGCAAGAAGTGCTGGCCGTGCAGGGAAGCAAAGAGATATTTTAGCACTGAAGAGAATATTTTTAAAATTAAAATATTTGAAATAGATCGGGTGTCGCAACCATTATTTACGGAGGGGGTCGGGCATGGGAGGCGGAGGCCGCGCCAAAGAGCTATCGAGGTGGGAAGGTGCGATCCCGGAGTTACTTGATACTAATAGCATACCTGGTGCTGTAAATTACTCAGAAACAAGATGCTCCCTGTCTGGAGCTGTTTGCAAACTTACATAGGGCAGGAAGTAGGTGGAGGAGGTAAGGAAGGAAGTGGGGGAGGAGAGAGGCCCTGGATGGGTGTGGTGGGAGGGTGGTCGATGGGGAGACAAATCACAAAAAAAAAAAGCTTTGCCAGTAGGCCAGTGAAGTGACAACTTCAGTACCAGCTTTAAGTATAGATGCTGGTAGACCAAGGAGTCCCCAGCCTTTTTGAGCCTGCAGGCACCTTCTGGAATTCTGAAACACTCTAGTGGGTGAGCACAGCCACAAAATGGCTGCCACAGCTTACCTTCAGTCACACAGCAAAAATCCTTGTTCTGTGGTGGCAGCTGAAGTCTTCGCAGCCAATCAAAAGCCTTGCTGGGTAAAAGACCCACCTGGCCCTGCTCACTTCCTAAATGCACTTGGGGAGTACCAGGAAAGGTGTTATTAGGCACCATGTTGGGGACCCCTGTGTTAAGATAGCTCAGATTCATGGGACACAATCCATTGTGGAGTTCTGCACATTTCTGGAAATGGAACAGGAGTTGCATGGGGAGGGGCCGTGGCTCAGTGGAAGAGCCTCTGCTTTGCATGCAGAAGGTCCCAGGTTCTATTCCCTGGCATCTTCAGTTTAAACGGATCAGGCAGAAAGGGATGTGAAAGAGCTCTGCTTAAAACCCTGGAAATCTGCTTTCACTCTTGAGTAGACAATAGTGATCCTGATGGTCTGATTTAGGATTTTATTTATTTATTTATTTATTTATTTAACTTTCAATTTCTAGACCGCTCAACCCCCGAAGGGCTCTGAGCGGTTTACACAGTACAATTTTAATTACACTCACTAGGGCCACACATTAAGGGGAAATGACTACCTATCAGGATAAGGCAAATAAGGCAGCTTCCTGGGTTCATAAAAGCAGGGTTGACGGCTTCATAAGCAGTTGGTGTCTTTGGGGTGTTCCAACTTGGACCAGTAAGATGGGAGATATGAAGGAGAAGCCGAAGGAAGTTCATGGAGAGGGGGCAGAATTGCATGCTTGGGACACCTTTAGCTTGACAGGAGCGTTCCGTAGTGTTACTAGATTGTGCTGAGCTCTGCCCACCAGGCGCAACTTCCTGGGCAGAGAAAGCAAGGTGGCATCTTAAGTGTGGGTATTGTGTGTGTGTGTGTGTGTGTGTGTGCTTGCAGGCCTGGAAGACATGGCGACCTCTGGTGACCCCCTACTGGGGGCTTGGATGTTTTTCAGAGAGGTGTCTTGATAGCCTGCCTCTGCGTCCCAAGTCCTGGTATTCCTTGGAGGTCTCCCTTCCAATTACTTGCCAGGGTTGGCCCTGCTTAGCTTCCGAAATCTGACGAGATCAGGCTTGCCAGGGCTACCCAGGTCAGGGCTAGCAAGGTGGCGTCTTTTATCATGTGAGCTCAAGAAGGTAGGGTGGGAGTCACAGTCTTGTTCCTGATGCAACTGCAGAGGCAAAGTCAGCCCCCATGTTGGTTCCTAAATTCAGCCGGGCTCCCAGTGTTAAGGGTGGGGGTTTGGTTTGGTTTTGCACAGGGGTTTGGATTCCCACCTCCCTGAACAATGGCTTAAAGATGAACTCTGGGAGGCATATGTGTAAGGGGGGGGGGCTCTCCTTTGAGAAAGACAGATCCATCCCCCCCCCCCACAGCAATCATGTCTGGGCTGGAATATGTAATCCTTTTCAGGGCCACAAGACACAGCTTTTAACAGGGCTTTTTTTGTAGATAAAGCCCAGCAGGAACTCATTAGCATAATAGGCCAGACCCAACAATAGAAACTCATTAGCATATTAGGCCACACCCCTGACAGCACAGCTTATTGGCATATTAGGCCACACCCCCATGTTACCAGAAGAATGCTCATCCAGCCACACCCACCTTTTGCTGCTTATTCTGTTTACCTTGTTTGTTGTCAAAACCCAGGGCCTTTTTGTAGCAGGAACTCCTTTGCATGTTAGGCCACACACCCCTAATGTAGCCAATCGTAATGAGTTTCTGCTGTTGGGTGTGGCCTATTATACTAATGAGTTCCTGCTGTGCGTGGCCAACTTGGAAGCCAGCTGGAACTCCGTTCCTATGCGCTCCTGCCCAAAAATAGCCCTGGCTTTTAAACAAGAAAACAGGAGAAACTATTCATGGTGGAGCAAGCTTCCCCCTGGAGCAGGAGTACTGCCATGCTAGGTCTGGCCAGCAGTCCATCTTGACCCAGCTAGCTATCCCGGCTACCCAAGCCTGAGCACTGCAGCATCCCACCTGGAAAAAGGGTCACATAAAACAATCTAAGAATAAAATCATCCAACCCATGCAAGCTCTGGGGCATTTATTTATTTGATTCTTAGACCCCCCCCTCCCCTTTGTAGGGCTCAGGGCAGTGTACATCATGACAATAAATACATCTGTAAGTCAATTAAAAACCATTAAAAAACGTAATGAGGCAAACTAATTCAGAATGACGTTTTAAAGACACTTCATGTCCTTTCCCCATATGGAGAGGAGAGATGGAGGAAGCCAAGCTCGATGGTGTTTTAAAACATTTTACGTCATTTCCCCATAAGCCAATGTTCCCTCTAAGCTGAGTTAGTGTGAGCTCGCTCACAGTTTTTTAGCCTCCAGCTCACACATTTTTGTCTAAGCTCAGGAAGGAGGGCTCCAGAGCAAACTAATTTATGCAGTAGCCAAATCACTTGCTCACAACTTTAATGCCAGTAGCTCACAAAGTAGAATTTTTGCTCACAAGACTCCACAGCTCAGAGGGAGCACTGTGTCCTCAACCATAGGCTTCCCCCCTAATAAGCATTAGTGAATAAATATCATTTTTACACACACAAAAACCCCATAGGCCTGGTGGAACATCTTTGTCTTACAGGCCTGTGGAACTGCACTATGTCCAGGGGTCATTTCGTAGAAAAAGAGCTAGGGGAACTCATTAGCATAACTCATTAGCATATGCCACACCCCCAGGCAGGCAGGGTTGGGGAGAGGCGGGGAGGAAGCAACTTACCCTCCCTCTTCTCTTGCCTCCTCCTGGCTGAATGAGGGCTGGAAGCGGGGCGGCGAGAAGCGGGGGGGGCGGGCTTCGTCATGTGCCCCGCCCCCCCGCACCTCACCTTTCCCCCACGTCCCCCCCCCCAAATGACCTCTGACTATGTCTCACAGTGCGGGGGGGGGGGGGTGTACCAGGAAGAGAGGCAGTCCGGTAGATAGGTTGGTCCCAGACCACTCAAGACCTTGAACCTGATCCGGTACTCAATCACTTCGTATACAGGAAGGAAAAGACTCTCTGTACATACCCAGAGGCTCTCTTGCCTTTTTTACTCATTGGCTCAGTACCGGGTTGAGCCCCAGGGCAGGAAGGAGGTGGACGCACTCCAGCCTCTCATTTTTCCAGCAAGCGAACTAAAGCAAACCTTTAAGCCCGCCGGCGAGGTCTGGTTCCCACCCGGGGATGCTTGAAGCCTAAATGCAGAGAAAGCAGGAGGGACTCTGTACAGGCCCGGGGCTTCCTCCCCCCCTGTTCACTGACAAGCGGACAGCTGCTCCAACGGTCAATGAAGGAACTCTGCACGTATTCACACGTGGCTGCAGCCGAGCATGGGAGAGAAGTTTGCACGGGGGGGGGGGGTGTCTACACATGCTCCCACGCGCTCTTCCTCCCCGCCCCGGCAACTGCACGTACCAAGATACGAATGGCATGGAAGCCGCTCTTTCCGCTCGGCCGGCTTGAAGAAGGCAAAGAGGCGAGGCTTATTATGGGTCACGAGGCAGAGGACGGGCGCCATCTCTCGTGTCCATGGAAACGCGGCCTACCTCGGACACTGCGCCAGCCGTAGGCTCTCCCCAGCTCCAGAATGACGCACCCCGCCTGGAATGAAGACACGGGTGGGGCGGTCTACCGTTCTCGGGACCCCATCTGCAACCTCCGGATCAGGTAAGGGCATTCCCCGCCCATCGGTGTTTTTCTCATGTTTCTCTCCTGACATCAGCTTCTTCATCCCCCCCCTCCCCCTTTTACTTTCCTCCTCCAGTTCGCGGCGGCTTACTTATTTGTTCAATTTATTAGTATAATTTCGTTTATTTGATTTCATTGCAATAAAAGGCTCTCAAGGAGTCTTCGGTGGGGGGAGAAACAAGCATGGAGGGAATCCTTAAATTTGCACGATGGTAACGATAAATACAATTACATTTTTTTTTAAATCCACGAATTCTACTTGCCTTTCAAAATTCTACAAGCAAATATGAAGAGGCGCTTGGAAACACCCCGGTTTTCACACTGAGGATCCTCAAATGCACACTATTCTACATCACTGAAGGGTTTGCTCCCTAGCCAAGGATCTGTTCGTTTTCCAGGTTGAAAAAGTGCTAATAAAACGTCTTTAAGTGAATGAGACGTGATCAATAGTTGAAAATATGCCTTGGAAGCTGTAGAATGTGGAAATGCAAGATGTGTGTTGTATGTAGTAGTAGTTCTGTTCATGTGTTACAGTGAATGCAGGTACATCCTGCATGTGTGTGTATTATATGTAAGACTGAGCCAACATGTGTTCGCTTTGCAACCAAAACTGGGGACCAGCATCTGGATAAATGTGGAGTTGAAGTGACATTCAGCTGTTCATGCACTGAATATAACATGATGATTACTCAAATCAAATGTACATTGTACACAGACTGTACGCGCATTCACGTTGACTTATGAACAATGTACTAGGGTAAACATGTGTTCATGTGCATCCCTCCCAGAGATTGAGGTGACAGGCAATTTGAATAGGAACTGCTGTGAAGAGAAAAGGGGTCATCCTGCCCGCTGTCCTACTTTCCAACCTGAAACAGCAGCCTCAGAGTGCCACTATTTGCCCTGTTAGGGAAATTTACATGTACCCACATGGGTTTCCTCAAAGGGGCAAACAGCTATGATTGATAAATACAAATCAAGTGCCACTTAGATTGCTTTGTAGTGTGTGAACTTGGCTGATACAAATCTTCAAACTAGAACTAAACTCTCAGCTTACACTTAGTTAAACTAACTGATCTTTGATGGATTCATTTTTTCAAGAACAGGATGTCTCAAATTTAGCTGACTCCTGAGAATCAAAGGAATATGATTAGTATATCCTCAATGAATGTCACAAAATAAGAAGTTTAAAATGAGGGGGATTGGGGTTTTTTGTTTCTTTACTCATTCTTATTTTAGAATATTTAGATACTTTGCATATTTTTCAGATACTCAGTTTTATCTCATAAAAACAAACTGCAAACATACATCACTTATGTATGATATATGTTTAAAAGGTTTAAACATGTTAAAGGTTAAAGCTTAAAAATGTTTAAAACACAATGTAAAATAGAATACCACAACAAACATTAGCATATTTGTTACTGGTTTTATATCTTTTTTCTTTTTTTTTACTATTCCAGTTCTTGAGGACACTTACAGCAAACATTCACAAATTCAGAATGACACACACACACCCGAGATGAATAGGGACACAGTATTCCTATCTCACTACAGATACTAATTTTTGGCCCCTGAGCATTCCT